TGTGTTTGCGTTTTTGAATCTGTGTTTGAATATGTGGTTTCTTTGTGTTTGTTTGTTTGTTCGTTTATTTGTTTGGTTGGTTGCCTGCTTGTTTGTTGCTTGATTGTTTTATTGCTGGTTTGCTTGCTTGCTTGCGCTTGTTTGCTTGTTTGTTTGCTAGGTTGGTTGGTTGTTTGTGTGGTTGCTTTCTGTGTCTTTCTTTCTTTGCTTCATTGTTTATTTGTTTCTTGGTTCCTTGGCTTCTTTGTTTGTTTGGTTTTCCGTGTGTTCGCAGTTTGTTTGTTTGCTTGTTTGCTTGCTTGTTTGCTTGCTTGTTTGCTTGCTGTTTGTTTTAGTGTATTTTTGGTTGGTTGCTTGTTGTTTGGTGTTTGGTTGCTTGGTTATGTGTTTGTTTGTGCTTCTTTGTTTGCTTCCTTGCTGGGTTGCTGCTTTCCTTGTGGGTTTGCTTGCTTGCTTCCTTGTTTTTCTTCCTTGCTCGCTCGCTCGCTCGCTCGCTCGCTCGCTCGCTTGCTTGCTTGCTTGCTTGCTTGCTTGCTTGCTTGCTTGCTTGTATGCTTGCTTGTCTGCTCTTGCTTTGCTTTGCTTTGCTTGCTTGCTTGATTGCTTGCCTGCCTGCTTGCTTGTTTGCTTGTTTGCTTGTTTGTTTGTTTGATTGTTTGTTTGTTTCTTTGATTCTTTGTCTCTTTGTTTCTGTGTTTCTTTGTTTCTTTGTTGGCTTGTGTGTTTGTTGTTTGTTTGCTTGCTTGTGTTTTTGTTTGTTTGTTTGGTTGCTTGGTTGCTTAGTTTCTTGGTTGCTTGGTTGCTTGGTTGCTTGGCTGCTTGGTTGTTTATTTGTTTCTTTGTTTCATTGGTTGGTTGGTTGTGCTTGTGCGTGTGCATGTGCGTGTGCTTGTGCGTGTGCGTGTGCGTGTGCATGTGCGCGTGCGGGTGTGGGTGTGGGTGTGTGTGTGTGTGTCTGTGTGTCTGTGTCTGTGTGTGTGTGTGTGTGTGTTTTTTTGTTGTGCTTGCTCGCGTTTTGAGTCTGTGTTTGTGTGTGTGCGTGTGCTTGTTTTGTCGAGGGTATCCTTTTTTGGATGTTTTACGGACAAACCAAAAAGAAAACCGGCCATTTTGAAAGCTCCCTTACTCTGAGATTTGAGACCCTCACGTGGCGTTACCCCAGTCTGCTTCCAAACGAAGGCTTCTAAATCAGTCTTCAGCAATCTGAAAACCACGCGGACAAGTACAACAAGCACAAGGCAACTCACGGTCTGGCAAGAGTCAAAATCTGGGGCCCGCCCCCCCCCACCGGGCCGGCCATAGTTCAAGATCCGGTCCCGATTGCCACTTGCTTGACCCAACCTCCCAAACGTTCATTTGCCCGACAAGAGTTAGTCCAAAGGTCAACCAAGCACTGAGTCTGTTGTGTTTGAAGGCAGACCTATGAGTTGCGGACAAACTTGGTTGTTTCGCCCATGATTTTCCATTTAGGTGTGGCTCAAAATTATCCAGGAGGGGTTACGCAGGTTTTGGTCCAGTCTCCACTTACCAGGGCAACCCATTTTGGAATTCCGGTTTTTTGAGCCACTGCCATTTGATTGCAATCCAACCTTGACAGAACCCAAGGTGTGCTGGGCCTTCGGACCTTCTTCGGCTCGCTCTTCAGCCGGTCCGCCTCCCGTGGATCAAAGACTTCGAGCGCAAACACGTGGCTGAGTTCCATGGGGACCAGGCTACTCGGGACCCTTCCACGTGACTCGGGCCCACACTAAACGAGGAGCCCCTGGTCAGCGTCCTCCGAATTTACCTGAAGTTGGAATTCGATGTCCAACCTAGAAACACCTGGAAGCATGGTGCGGCATGGTTCTAAATGCTTCTACATGGCGTGTTGCACGCTTTGCATGTTTTTTTGTTGGTATTTGTTTGCATTGATTACCTCTAAATGGGCCTTACTTGGTGGTTTCCCAGCGTGAGTCAATTAGGGTAACAGAAAGGGCCGCCAAGCTTCAATGGCGCCATCAAGAAGAGTTTTGAAGCCTGGAACCTGAACCCTAACAAAACATGCAATGATGATACTAGCAATGATGACATTACTGGGCTGCCCTCAGATCCACCACTAAAAGTTTATAACTTTTAGTGGGTGAAATTCGGAAACTACCACTAAGCACTAAAAGGCTAACAAGCTAAGTGGATGGCTGGGAGCCACCAAGGATATTAATAGTACGATCGCATTCACAAGGTTCAACTGTCCGTTTTTCGGGGGCTACCACTTGTGGCGCCGCGTTTCGGCTTTACAAGACCGGACGCCTGCCGCTTCTTCCCCAAGCCAGCCAGCTCTTTGAGATCCGCAAGGTCGTCCTCGTCCTCCTGTCGGCAACGCGTCGAGTTGCTGAACTAACTTAGGGAACTGCCTATCGCACCAGCAAGCTAAACCTGACATTCTGTCCCAAAGAAGCTTTGGCAAACTCTTCAGCCAAGTTCTGCCATAGTTCCCTGCCCGAGATTGCACTGGGGGGTTCCAACCCTGGTTCTCGAGGGGGTCTTGGCCTGACCTTTTGGGGACCTCCAAACATCTCAGCATTCTCATGGAATTAGGCATGTCGAAAGAAAGGCCTCCCTGCTGTTCATCTGCAAGGGAGTAATACGAGAGGCTAAACAACTTACGCACCGTGTTGTCCTATATCAACAGCACCTCATTACCCCATGCCCAGACCCCCAGCGCGAACAAAGGCCGCTCTGTGGCGCTGGGTGGCGAAGTATCTAACGCTTCTCGCCTCCACTTCCACCTTCCGCGCTGCTTCGGCCTGCAGGCACAAACATTCCACGGTGGCGTGGCCGCGAACCCCGAGGTACACCAACAACAAGATGTTCTGATCCTGTTTGGCGCATTCAGCCAGCGGTAAAATATGAACCCATATCGGGAGCGCCCAAAGACCTCCCCTTTGGATTCGCTTCGGGGGGATGTTCATACCATGGACGGACAAAGTCCTGCACCAGTTGCGATGAAACCCAAAAAAATCGTCCATCCACAGACGGTGGATCATGTTGCTCAAAGGGACCAACCATTCTTGTTGTTGGACAACGGAAGGTCATCCAAGATCCAGAATCAACTTCCCAGCCTCTCGGTTTTCTTTGTACCTCGCAAGGTAAACCAAGAACAGTGAAGCAAAGTAGCCTTGTCCAAATGAGATGGATATCCTTCTGGAGGAGGATCTACACCACCCCAGCGTTTGCCCTGCAACACATGGCTGTTTTTAGATTCTAGTCCGTATTGAGTGAGCCCCAAAATGTAGCATCAGGAAGCTTTGGGCCCATGTTTGCCTTTGGAGAAGGATCCTCACGACCATTTGGCCAGCCTAAGGAAACAACAGGAATTCCTTTCTCACCCACACCCAAAGCCCCGTGTCCCAGAAGGTAAGTCCCTCCCGCGCCCTTCTAAGTCTCGCTGTTCAAGCAGCCCTGAGGCTTGGCCAGGGATTGGCCTCGCGAAGCCAGGCTTGTCTCAAGCATGGAACCCCGCAACTCGGTTCCTTCCGCTCGGCTTCCCTAAACAACCCAAACCAAATCTGGAAACCCAAACACAACCCAAAACAACCCCAAAACAAAAAAAAAAAAACACAACCCCCATTTCGCAAAAGCAACCCCAACGAGCCGGGAACCTCAGCTGCCGCAAACCGGAACGCCGGCGGCCGCCTTCGCCAGCTCGCGACGGGAGGGCGCCCGGTTCAGGAGGTCCGCAATGGCCTGAGCCGGGAGCTGAAGTCAGAAGTGGGGACCTGGGATGAAACAAATGATATATATATATATATATTGTTTTTTCCATGGGCCTACATATATGTGTATAAATAATATGGGTCTGAATGTGTATATATATATATATATTTCTATATGCATAAACATATGTGCGCCTGAATCATCGAAAAGGCGGTGCGGGGTGCTTGAAAGCCAAGGTTGGTCTTGCTGGAAATCAACAGTTTGGCTCCTTTTTTAAGGGTCGCCTTTAAAAAACCAGACCTTCTCCTTCTCCTTCAGCATGAATCCTAGCTTGTTGGCGAATTCAACCCATGGATTGTGGCTTCATTGTATGAAGTCAGCCACTGAATCTCCCCAACAATGGCCATGGTTCAAGAGATCGCAAGTTGCCATCCGCGAGCCAAGAATTGAATCCCGCGCGCTTTACCCCTCGGTCGGTGGGGATAGAATGTGTCGATCCTCTCGTGGACTCCTTGCGTTTCCTAATCGGTGAAGTGTGATGTCAACGGGCGCTCACAAACGAACACGTGTTGCAAAGAAAAGGGTCACAAGACCAGACCAAACATTCTAGGTGTTCGTTGCTTTTGATAGAAGAACACTCGCATTTGTTGCACCTTTTGGCCGTGCTGCCATAAAAATGTCAAAAGAGAGATCTACGATTCTAACCTTTGCTGTAGTAATTTATGTTCCTTTCATCCGTAGAATGTGATCGGCGGATGGAAAGGGGTACGTGTTGATCGTCGCTTCCAAGGTAAACAGAATGACATGGAGTTGTCGAGGTCCGGGCTCGCAACAGCTGATGGGTCTTCAAATGACTAATGTGCCAGTGGTACCTTCCAGTTCCATTCCGAACCCGATCCGAATCTTTTCTTTTCAGGAAACCCTCTCAGCCCGGGGGAAGCGGATCCGGTTTCCGGTTTCAAAGAAGGATGGCTGAGCAGAACGGAAAAGGAAAATCAACCCCTAGAATGATCCAAAGCCCCACCCCAAAATCAGTGGGGATCTATGGGTCTATGGGTCTGTGGTGCACACCTTCCCCGCCCTCTGGCAATGGCCGAGCGCCTTGAAGCGGTTGCTGGCAGCATAGCTCGCAGCGGTGTGCCCGTAGCTGTTTGGGATGTCCTCTCACGAATCCTTTGGAAGCACTGGTTGATAGGAGCCCAAAAAGGAGTCACTGGAGTTCCGCATCAAAAGGTTGGTGTTGTTCTGAAACAAACCAACCACGAAGTGTTTGCCTTGGGTGTCTTGAAAAACCATGCATTGCAAGCAAAAAGCAGAAGAAGCAGTGGTTGCTCCATTCAAGAGAGCCCACTGGTTGTGGGAAATTGAGAGAGGTCCCCATGTCCCTCCCAAATGAACCATAGACTACTTGGACTCACTTCCTGAGTGGATTGCTCAAAAAACGTCCACACTGTTTTTCTTTTTACCAGTGAAATGGTCTTCCCAAAAAGTGTCAGAAAGTGAACATGTGCAAGCTTGAAATTCATTCCATTCCCTCATTCCCTGCTGAGAACCAAGTCAATGAATCACAAGCGACTGGCATCAGCAAAGCGAGATTTGAACCCTTAGGCCTTCCACCCGGGGAAGTGGGGTACTTTCAACCCAGGGATAAACGCCTTGCCAGGCCTCAGCCAAACTCCCAGAGCCAAGGACAAGAAACTTTACCCTCGCCAAAAGCGACCGATTCTGCGGTCTAAGTGAGTCCTTCAAGGCAACCTGATGCCAAGGACAATCTCCAGCTGTGCTGTCTATGTTGACCCCAACTAGTAAACCCCTTGTCAATATTGATGGGTAGTCCCTGGTCGATACTGCCGGGAAGAGAGAAATCCTTCACTTTTAGGGGAAGTTGGACCATGAGAAAATTGCCAAGGGAAACCTCCAAAGTCCCCTCGCTCGCCAATTTTGAGGGTCCGAAGTACACAGATTCGCTTCTGATCGCGCCTCTTGGCTTTAAGTGAACCCCTCGTGCGCATTTGTTTTGCTCAGAACACGTCACATCCCCCAACCATAGGTGTCCTTTTACGGCCCTGGTAGATGATTAAACCGCCAGGTAAACCAGGAATCGCCCTCCATGTTTCTACACAAACAACCAGAACGGACACCTATGGACACCTATGGACACCTATGGACACCTATGGACACCTATGTAAAGAATTAGAAGGCGGATATCCGCAGCTATTTATGGTTGGGATTATCCCTTACTAACCTCACCATCTACCCGAATCGGATTTGATTGTGGCTCCCCGTCACACCCCCCCTTCCAGGAATCCAAACATTTGACGAAGCAGTACTTCTGCAACATCCATGCCTCTATGGGCGTGTGTGGATGTATGGTGTCCACAAATCCTAGCAAGGAAAGGGCCAGGGACACCTTTGCCCCCCCCACACACCTCTAGACACAACTCCAACTTGGTAAAACCTATAGAACACGGAAAAATTGACGATTCGGAGGTGTGCCATGTACTTTCACCCAATTGCATGCCCAGGTTAACCAGGAACCGCCCTCGATTTTTCTACCAAAACAACCCAAAATTGGACTATGGCGCCAAATCCCTTCCAGCTCATCAGAAGGCACAGCTGACCCTCGAGAGAAGAACAAAAAAACTCCTGGAGCCAAAAATGGCTCTGGCCGATCTGCCTCCGCCCCCGAGAGAAACCACCCCACCCCTTGCCGCGGGCGTCTCCTTGCGGGGGCTCGCCTTCAGAAGCTCCGTGACGGAGCTGAGGTGCCCGTGGTAGGCCGCGTAGTGCAGCGCCTCGAAAACGCGCAGGTCGTTGGAGGTGTTGGGGGGAAAACCTCTGGGGGTTCGGCAGAAATGTGGCTGTGGGTGTCAAGACTAGGTACCCAACATGGTTTTTTTTCTGGTAAATAGAAACAAGGCGTAACATCTGCGGTCCCCTGATGGTTTGATTTTGACCCATTCCCATATTGTCTCATGTTGTTTCATTTTCAGCCTGCCCTAAAATGCCAAAAGCTTGGTAGACATCTGGCTAAGGTGTGATTCCGCATTCTCTTCACCCCTCGTTCTCCTTAGAGACCACCTATTTTTTAGGGGTTTTGCCTATTTGTTGAAGAGAATGATCCCTGAAGAGAATGGGGAGGGTACAGCTAGAATCTGGGGTTCTGCAGGAATAATATTGTCTCATGTTGTTTCATTTTCAGGCTGCCTTTAAATGCCAAAAGCTTTTTGGAGGAGACCCTAGTAAGGGGTAGGATTCCCCATGCTTTCCAAGGATCCTTGTTTCCGGCAAACCACCAAAGAACCCGGGCGGGGAAAAAAACAAACAAAAAACGGCTGATTGAAAAGAAAGAAGAATCAAGCTGGAGGGGCAGTCGAGTCGCGCCTTTGGTTTCTACAATGGTTGCCGGTACCCCACACAAACTTCGGAGGCTTCGATGGTTTTGTATCCCATATTCCTTGTAATGCTGATGGTTTTCCTTCAATTCAAGGCCAGAAGGACACACACACACACACACAAACGCACCAGGTTGGGGCATGTGCGGCTCCCATAAAGCACCGAAGTGCGCCTCAAGCGGGGCCAAGGGGGTAGCCCCTTGATGAGTTGTAACAACCTCCTGTTGGTTGCCAGGTGAAGGTTACCAAAGCAGAAGGCTGGTAGAAACCGACTTCCCCAACCCTGCAGCCCCGTCGCAAACAAACACACACACACACACACACACACACACACACACACACACACACACACACACACACACACACACACACACACACACACACACACACGCACGCACGCACGCACACACGCACACACACACACACACACACACACACACACACACACACACACACACACACACACACACACACACACACACACACACACACACACACACACACACACACACTGATGTGCTCGTCAACACTCTCCCATTGGGCCACGATCTGGTTCCCTCAATGGATTCCTTGCCCTGGCTGTCTACAAACCCATAGAACAAAACGGTTGATGGCCATCCCTCCGTCCGCGTCAGTGCCTAGCTCTTGCCGTCGAGGTACCATGGATGCTAGCCATCCCTACCAAACCCAAAGGTGTCAACTTTGGGCTGGTCAAAAATAATTACTCAGATGCACAGTGGCCATGGGAACAAAGGGTACCCTTTTTTTGTTGGTTGAGTCTAAAGGAAAACCCTCACCAACAAAAAAGGAAGAAGAAAAAAAGGGCACCACTGGGCAACTGGGAATAGGTACCCAAGATGGAACCCCGGTAAATCATACCCTTTTGGCACATGGATTCTTCGAGGGGCGGTGTTGCCGTAGTCGTCCACCGCATCCACCGTGCTGTTGGACAGCCGCAAGGCCGCCACGATGTCTTTGTGACCGGCCCCGGCAGCCTCGAGGCTTGTTTCCGCCGGCTGCTGGGGGTGTTCTTTGAGGGCTTGCAGGTTGGTTTTAAAGGGAAAGAAAAAAGCGATTACCATGTTTCCCCAACAGCTGAAAGCTTTGGGGTCTCAGCCGGGTGAGGGATCAAACAAACACCTATTAGGCATAAAAACAAAAACTTATTTCTGAAGATCAAAAAAACTTATTAGGGATCAAAAAAACTTATTCTCATTGATTTACTATTAAAAATGAAAAGTCAGAGGATCAAAAAACAACTTTTTAGGGATCGAAAAAACCTTGTTCATTTCGTGGCAGGCGAAGCACTTTCGCAAGGTCAGGTACAGATTTCGTGCCAGGCGCGGCACTTTCGCCAGGTAGGCGCAATGCTTTCGCAGGTCAGGTGCAGATTTCGCGGGCAGGAGCAGCACTCAAGGTGCAGTACAGATTTCGCGGCAGGCGCAGCACTTTCGCAAGGTCAGGTACAGATTTCGTGGCAGGCAAAGCACTTTCGCAAGGTCAGGTACAGATTTCGCGGCCGGCAGGCGCGGCACTTTCGCCAGGTAGGCGCAATGTCCGGTACAGATTTCGCGGGAGGCGCAGCACTTTCGCAGGGGGCGGTACAGATTTCGCGGCAGGCGCGGCACTTTCGCAAGGTCAGGTACAGATTTCGTGGCAAGCGCAATACTTTCGCAAGGTGCGGTCCAGATTTCGCGGCAGGCGCAGCACTTTCGCAAGAGGTACCAATTTCGCGACAGGCGCAGCACTTTCGCAAGGTACGGTGCAGAGTTTGACGCAGGCGCAGCATTTTCGCAAGCAGTGAAACAAATATACAGAGATATAAACATGAAAAAAAGGGAGAAAACAGAGAGAGAGAGAGAGAGCGAGAAAGAAAGAAAGAAAGAAAGAAAGAAAGAAAGAAAGAAAGAAAGAAAGAAAGAAAGAAAGAAAGAAAGAAAGAAAGAAAGAAAGAAAGAAAGAAGAAAAAAAGAAGAAGAAAAGAGAGAGTGATTCAGCAAAGGGTGCGTTAAGCTTTGTATACATTCTGAAAATCAGCGGGGGGGTTGGAGGGGGCGGCAGCCCCCCCCCCATGATGTTCGAGGAAGTGATGATTCAACAAGGGGTGCGTTAAGCTCTGTAAGTATTCTACAAATCAGCAGGGGGGTTGGGGGGTGCGGCAGCCCCCCCCATGATGCTCGAAGAAGTGATGAATCAACAAAGGGTGGTGATGATCGAAGAAGTGATGATTCAGCAAAGGGTGCGGTAATCTCTGTAAACATTCTGAAAATCAGCGGGGTGGTTGGGGGGGGTTCCTTCCTTCCTCCCTCCCTCCCTCCCTCCCTCCCTCCCTTCCTTCCTTCCTTCCTTCCTTCCTTCCTTAATGAGCATAAGTCTTTTTTGATGCCTAATAAGTGTTTTTGATGCCTAATAAGTTTTTTTTGATGCCTAATAAAGTTTTTTTGATGCCTATCCCGTCTCAGCCCAGATAATTGGGCTCCGGGGTGGTCCGGGGCGGCCCTGAGGTAAGGTTCCACGAGGGTTCCACCAGGGTTCCACCAGGATTCCACCAGGGTTCGACGAGGTTCTGCGAGGGCTGCGGGGTGGTGCGAGCACTAAAAAGAGCACCGCATGCTGTTGGGGATATCACCTGAGCTTATCCATTCAAAAAAAGGAAAAAACGAAAGACCATTTCTGGGGCCCTTTTTGTTTGACGAGTCATTTGGGAACACAGATAGTTGGGTGTTCCTGTAAAGGGAAACCAGCAATTCTCGGGTGCCTAGGGTGCAGGATCTGGTCAGCAGCCTTTGTTGGTGGTTGTTTTCAAGAACGGAGCTGAGTCGTTCTTTGTGGCCCAGTTGCCCAGAGACCCTGAGAAAGAAGGAAATGATTTTCCGAGTGGCACCCTTTTGTGTGGACAAATGTCCCTTCCAAATTCCGAGCCAGCAAGAACAAAGAGGCAGGGTGTCCTATACTTCCCCTTTGAGGAAACTCACCTCAACATTGCAAGCAAAAAAATGGCTGGGGGTCAAACATAGGTACCCAACATCGGTTTCCCTAGTAAATGGAAACAATGACTACAACCTGTGGTCTCCTGGTGGTTTAATTTTGACCCACAGCCAAATGATGTTTAAGACCGCCCGAGGGCAAATCTAGAGACCCACTGGCAAACCTCCCAAGGCCAAACGCTACACGTGCGGAAAATTTGTGCCATCAAGAGGGATGGGCCGAGATGATTTGCAGAATCTCGTTTTGACATGCGTGGGGATGAATTCCGGCCCTGTACGCATAATATATATATATATATACACAATACATAATATATCTGTATATATGTATAAATATATATATATATAGTTGTTTATGTGTGTGTGTGCACACGTACAAGTCCACCCCACGCAACTTGGGGCTCTAAGCCTCGGAGTCCTGGTAGCTTGGCATCCAACGATCTTTTCTAAGCTTCAAGATTTCCACACAAACGGGTCCAAAGAATTAGAGGTGGCTGTGAGTCACAGCCAATGGGATCCCATTTTGGGGTAGGTGCACCACCCATTGTCGTCTATTTTAGCGGGGATTGGGATGTTCACTGGGGGTGCGGGATTTTGACCCATGGCCAAGTGGCTTCCCTGAAAGAAGACCATGTTGTCATGATTATAGGATGAAAATTACGCATGCCTCTTCTTGGGACTCAAGGTGCTTCTTCAGGAGAGAAAACTAAATAGCTCTGCAAAAAGAGGACCGCCCATGCCCACTTCTCCAATCAACATCTACAAACAAAAGACTCACTTGTGTCCCCTTGCGACATCAACCCACAAACAAAGAAGTAAAGTTGACCCAGGGAATTAGCGGTCTTTCAATCACGACAAAAGGACATGTAAGGATGCCTGCCCATCCACGTTCCAGCAACCAACTCTCACTCCGACATCCTTGCCGTGGATTGCCAAACGCTTTCACATGGGCTTTGCGAAGCGAGTGCCCCCGGGAAAGCTTTGCGTTGCCGGAGTGTGGTGAGGCTGGGACTGGATAAGAAAATCCAAGATTTGACAAAGGCTCTGACTCATTAGCCAAAACAAACACGCAAGTCTTCCAACAAGTAGACCATCATCAACCTTTTTTGTGGTCTTCCGGAGAAGTCAAAAAAGGAAAGCCACCATTTCTGGGGTCCCCAAAGGAAGACACACCCAAAAACGACTCATAACAACCAAGCATGTTTTAGCATTAGTATCATAGGTGTCCTTTTAGGGTAAATAGATGGGTTTCCCTGGCAGATGATTAAACCACCAGGTCAGCCAGGAATCGAACCCCCTCGATTTTTCCACCAGCCACAACCAGAAATTGGACACCTACGATTCGACTTCCCCAGCCCACCCCCCCCACCTCCGGCCTCCATCAACGGCGTGCGGCCCCCGCCCCCGGCCGCGTCCGGGTCCGCCCCGGAGCGCAGCAGCGCGGCCGTGGTCTGGCGGAAGCCCTGAGCTCGTGGACAGGCGCCGCGCACCGGAAAAAACGGCCACAAACCGTGGCTCGTGGAAGTAGGGAACCGCCAAAAACCCCAACAAAACACCTTGGAGCCCTACTAGGTCCTCCAGATTTGAGAGGTTAGAATAAGGGTACCAACTTTTTTCTGTAAAAAGAAACGGTAAAAGGGCACTACTGGGGGAGCTAGCCTATAAACCATCCAACTGGTGGTTTCCTTTAAAGGGAATCCCCAGGTTCATTCCCTCATTCCCTGCTGAGAACTACCAAAAACAAGGAAACAACCGTTTGTAGGGCAATGATTCCCCGAGTTGTGAGTTTGCGGGGTTCCAACTCACCTTGCTGGTGCGATAAGCAGGGAATGAGAAATGGAATGACCTCGATTTAAGCCATCCAACTGGTGGTTTCCTGTATTCGGGAATCCGCAGGTTCATTCCAACTCATTCCCGACTGAGCACCAGCAAGACAAGGAAGCAACTAAACCACTCTTGGTTCTTGGATACAGGAAATCTCATGAACCACAAAGTATGCATGTCTTGAAGAATTTCCTCCTGGCTTGTTACATCTACCAAGATTCCCATGGTTGTCAGCCCCTAGAGACCACTCCCCCACAATGCCACCCACAATGCCTCACTCCCTATTAGCCCCCATTGGGATTTCGAGGCGGGCAATGGACGTTACAAAGCCAACACCACGAAACCAAACCATGAATAAAAGGGAAAGAAGGCACACCTCTTGCTTCAAAGTGAGAGGAAACGCAAACCTCCCACTCCAAACGGAGCCCAAGGTCGGTGGATGAAGTTGGGACTCTTTTTTTTGGAGAGTACGTTTTGATCATTTGCATTTTGATTGCTTCACACCGCTGAACCATTATTTTAACTAGTACTGGGATATGACATACCCTCCACTTGCTCTCGGGGAAATGGAAACTTGCTTGACCAAGGATGGGGGTCGTCTCTGAAGTTGCGACCCCCTTGGAGCCTCTGCGCATTTTTGCGAAGGGAAGCTTCGTGGACGAATCTTGGGGGTTGATCAATGGGTCCGTGAGGCATGGAATGACCATTGGTTGGAAAACCACTAGAACGATTTGATGGGAAACATGCCTGGAGTGAAGGTAAACAAGAGCGGCCACTTCTGCGAGATGTCCAGTGGAAAGACAGGCTTGATCAAGGATGACAGGGGTGCACAACAAAGAAGATGGGGTGGGAACAAAGCGGGAAACAAAACAAGGGGGGCCAAAGGGGTAAAAAGGGGAACGGAACAAGGTGAACAAAGGGGAGCTACCCCTTTGATATCTAACGATATCTTCGGACAAATCCGGAGCTGTCTGTAATTTGATGTGTTTGATGCTATCTCCGCATAAATGCTCAGGGCCCATACTAATCTGAGACATTCCCCTAAAATTCATGGATTCCTCACCAAAAGGTAACTCGAAGTTGACCTTACCATACTTTCGGTTTGATTATATCGTAGGGTGTGTGTGTGTGTGTTTTTCAGGGAACCCCCAGAATGGTGCCTACTGGTAGCATACAAGAAAACCTCAAAAGACACGAACTGAGGCATGTCTACTGGTAGTCTATGGAACCCCGTGACACCAGTGGACTCGAGCTTCACACAAATCATGCGGGGCCCCCGAGCACGGCTTGCTGTCTGGTGAGCCCGTTGCTGCAACGACCCCCCTGCAAAAAGTGGACAACTTCTTGGGGGTTTAGTAGAAACGCACAACTTGATTTCAACCAAATAGGTAATGTCTAAAGATCCAACCCAACTTTTTGGGGGGTTAGTGGAAAAGCACAACTTGATTTCAACCAAAAAGTTAATGTCTAAAGATCCGTTGCCCAATAGCAGTGAAGTGGTGAGCTCTTCGTCTTCTTCAGACCAGTTGGTGACTTGCAATTCCGTGGCTTCCGTCCCTAAGCTGGGAGGGTATCAACTCAAGTTGAACCATGCGGTTCACTAAGAATATAGAAGACCGACGGGACTACATGTGAGTCACTTGTTTAAAACCCGGTACTAAAATGGTCGCAATCCCAGAGCCATGCTTCAAGAATTAAGAAGGCGAGTATCCGCAGCTATTTATGACAAGGGGATTGTCCCTTACTAACCTGACCATCTACCCATGTTTTGATTGTGGCTTATGGGGACTAATGAACACCCCCTAATAATAAACCCCTGTTTATTAATATGGGGGTGTCCCTGGCTTTAGTGGGGATTGTTCACTTTTGGAGGGGAAAAAAACCCACTCATGAAACCTCCCTATTGATAAACTGGGGGTTATTGATAGGGGGTCAACATTGCAAGTGCCATCCAGTACCCCATGGCCCCGCTTGGCATGGCTACCTTCGCGGCCGCGTAGACCAGCGCGGTGTTGCCGTTCTCGTCCGTGGCGTCGATGAGATCGGCGTAGGCTGGCGATGGAAGGCGTGGAATGATCAAATCATGGGAAAGAAAACTAGGTCCTCCAGTAGAGAGGATAGAATAGGGGTACTTGTTTTTTCTGTAGTCTATTTTAGTAGGGGAAGCCTCCCAAAAAAAAAGGTAAAAGGGCGCTACTGGGGGACCTAGAGAATGTAGCGTCCGTCGATCTGCGTTCAGCACCATTTGTGGAGAAGCCACCATCAACGAGATTCTAAGTCACCTGGAATTGGAGGGAATCCACTCGAAATGGACACAAAGGGTTCAGAAAACCGACCATGAGCCCCATCGCATCCCGGGCCATGGTATGACGGCAAAAAAAATAATGCCAAGACATGCATCTAATTATATTCTAAAAGGCCGCTCCCTACCGGGAAGAGCACAGAAATAAAATTGGCAAAGCAGCGACAGCGATGCATCACAACCCAAAAGCCTTGTGTACCGACGAGGTTTCCCCTCGCACGCCAGCATGACCTTGCTCGTACTGGAGAATGGCGTGAGCCTGTTAGATTGGCCCACCAATACCCCTATTAGATGCTCGACAGAGCGAGCAAGAGCTCAGGTGCGACAAGAGGTGTGGTGGTGGTGGTGGTAGCAGTAGCAGGGGGGGGGTTCTGAGAACCTTCCCGGGGTTCTCAGTCCGACTGCGTCAAACATCGAAGGGGGCGCGGGTCTCCGGGGGGCTGATAAGTTTCTGACTGAGACACGCAGATTGCCATCCTGATGCGAGAGGAGAAGCGGATTGAAAGATCCGCAGTCTCACAAGCCGAAGGTCATCGAGGTGCTGTCAGATCTTCAAATTGGGACCCGCCGGCCCTCCGGTCGATTTGCGATGTGCGATATTTGCCATTTGGCCATGGGTCCAAATCCCGTTCCCCCAGTGAACCTGCCCCAAAATGGTACCATTGGTGTTGACAAGCACGGCCATTTCCCCCGGCGAAGTCTTCTCGCGCCAAGTTTCGCGCGATTGGCCCGCCTAGCTCCCGGTTGTACAAGAGGCCGTTGACGATCTGCGGGTATCCGTCATGGCTGGCGAAGACCAGGGCGGCGTCGCCGTACTGGTGCACCTCGCAGAACCGGCTCGACCGCACCAGTAACCTAGTAACACGTGGCTTCGGCTCAATTTGGTCCGTGTCCAAAGTGGAGGGGTTGCTCAATCCAAGTGGGAAACCAAACAAAAATCGAATCCTCAGAAGGGAGTTGAGTTGCCAAGTTGCCAAGTCGAAACCCAGGGACAACTCTCGGCGGGGCTTGGTGGTCACTTGCGAACATGGTGAATTCTTGTACTCGCCTCACTGGCACCCTGATTTCGCTCGGTTTACAGGGACACCAAAGAGAAACCGACTTTAATACACACCCATAACTCGGTGTCTTTCTGCTCCCCTGCTAAAGTCTAACTTTTAGTGGTTTAACGGAAAACCCATTGGTGGGCAAAAAGTTAAAGTCCTAACATCCGAGCAAAATGCACCAAAGATAAGGAATTCTAGAGTCAAGAAGATTGCTCACCCCTTTTTGGTTTGCTGTTGGGATTGAATCTAGGCTATTTACCGCACAAATAGTATCGAAGTAACATCCTCAGCTCCACCCCGCAGTTCCGACTTTGATGTCAGCCCTCATGCCAAACTCCTCAAATGGCCATAAAAGCCCAGATATCCGCAACCTATCTAGGGTTAAGATTCCGGAACTTGCAACTCCCACCAAGAAACATCGGAAGCGCCAAGGCCTCTTTGAAAAAGAACCCAAAAGGAACAAAGTTTGAAGGACCACTTTGGACAAGTGGCAGGGCACCATCTCCGGTGCCTGGCGCCTCACCGTTTGGGTTGGGTGCAACCCTCCTCACCAACGAACTCCAACACTCGAGCCGCCCTCGGAATCCCCAGGCTGCAAAGGGCAAGCCTGAAACGAAGCGCCTGGGACTACTTCCAAAACATGTTCTATACAAGTGATTGAATCAAAATCAAATTGGCCTGTGAAGAACTCGATTCCGGAAGTCCCTACGTAGCGCGGGAAAGACTCCGAGCACCTAGCTGTCAAGCTGGGGAGAACTCACCAGCCGCGGCGAACGGCCCGGGCGACCGGTTCTGCGCGGTGCTTGCAGCAACTGGGGGCCTCTCTCGCACACAACTAGATTTTGGGGGCCGGTGGAGTGCCGTCGCTGTTTCCCTCCGCCCCCCCCGCCCAAACCCCGGGATATGATATGTCAAATCTAAAGGCATCACCCGACCAAGAGCCAGCTCGGTTTAAATTGATCCCAACTTGACATATTGCATGAAAGGTATTTGTTTTAAGCGGAAAAAATAAGAAAGTAGTAAGACCCGGACTCCAGTCCCTTCTCCCTCCCTGGGGATCTGGCATATTGGTCTGTGAAGACGTGCACCTCACGCACTTCTCGCGTAGCTTCCGGCCCCGGGTTGTCAAAGGTCAGAAGACCCACATGGCTGTGGGTCAAAACAAATGGGATCCCATTTTGGGGTAGGTGAATTCGCCACACATTTTAGTCTATTTTAGTGGGGATTGGGATGTCCACTGGGGGCAACCGGGATTTTGACCCATGGCCACATGAACACTACCCCCCCAAAATGGCGGTTTCCTTTGCGTCGGGAACAGGTCTTTTGACTAGCACATGGCGAAAACGACTCTGCCGAAACAAAACACAGGGGCAAGTGCGCCCCACCAAACTCCGCTGACTGGTACATTTTTCCACTCGGAAATCCCCCAAAAAGTGGGGGAACTCGCCCAAGGGAATTCGCCCGGCAAACTCCAAAATCTAGGCTTGAATCAAATTGGCAAAGCGCGAAAAACATTATCCCTGTTCCTTCTTCCCCCCCCCACAAAAGGCTGCGCTGAAAACGCCGGTGAAGCAAGCAAGCAAGCAATCAGCCAAACAAAATAACAAAGCAAGCAAGTACAACAAGTCCATAAGCTGACGGTGCCTAAAAGGGTGTTGGGGGTGGTGAGCATGTGCTTGCGGGCTCCCCAATCCAAGCTTTGTTGGGGCTCTGCCACAAAGTTGCTGATGTTCTCTTCAAATCCAGGTAGCCATGGTAAGATGTGACCCCTGATTGGTGGTTTGGATTGTTGAGCACTGCAAATTGGGAAATGGTCGCCTGATTACCTTCAAGGACAAGGGGTTCAAATCCCCAAACTGCCAAGCCGGGCCACCAGAAAGAAAGAGTACCGAGTATTCATATCAAACACCCCTCGCTGTGCAGGCGCTATCATTTGCAGAAAAACTCACGGGCCACAATCGTGACTGTCGTTGTGAATGCGGGAAATACCGGGGCTGGGGCGAAGCCTTTTTGACAGATTGCACCACACACCCTGCCTATGGCTGACGTCTTGATCCAAGGGAATATCGCATGGTGTCTAACTAGCGTGAGTGACCTGTGTTAAGGGTACCCTTTCTATGTTGGTTCAAAGGGAAAGCAAACTGAACTCGGTCCCCCAATTGGAGACAAACACCCACAAACTCCATTTAGGGTCCTCAGCATCTGGTCTTGGGCAAGGTGATGTTACGAGTATCCTAGGCTGCGTCGTTCATTTGAGTCGGAAAGGCAGGGCGTGGTTCGCTGAAAGTTTGAATCCTAGTTGTCCTTTTTGACAAATAGATGTCACTGGTACACAAGTGGAACCAAAGTGAAACTAGTGGAGTCCATCTATTCTCAGCCAAACCCTACAAGGAAGAACGGTGCCACCGATCAAGTGGGCTTCTGCACTTTGCAAAAGCCGAGAAGAGCTACTTTCAACAGGATGGTGTGCTTATTGGATCTACTATCGCCAGCCCAGTTTGCGGCACGCGTTCACTCAAGACGACAAGACAATCCTGCAAATCCCGGCCCGCTGCCAGCAGCCTCCCCCCGCCGGCCCCCCCCCCCAAAAAAAAAGAATACAAAAACAAAAACAAAACAAAGGACGACTCCCCCCCCCAAAAAAAAAAACGAAGGCCCCAACAAGAAAAAGGACAGACAACCACCGGCACCGGCCTGGTCGCTGGGGAGCCGCATCTCCTGCAAGGCTCCCGTCTGCTGCACCACCGGTGCGCCTCGCGGGTCGCCCCCGAAACCGCGGTGTGGGCGGTTTGGGCGGCTTCGACACCAAGCAGCGATTTGACGCCCTCCTTTGAGAGACGCCATCCCCATGAGAGTAGACTGGCCACATCATTTTACCATCCTCAAAGTCACCCCCTAAGTGGTAGGTTCAAGGAAAACAACCACAATGGCTGACCTTGATAACCCCTAGAAACAATCAAATTAATGGCCCCAGGTAGAAGGACAAAGTAACAGTTCCAAAACAGGAAGTGTTTCAACAATGCGCGTGCCGTTTTGCGGGTGGTATTTGAAGGGAACCAAACGGACAACGAACTATGTTAGGGGGTCCCCCAATTTTAGCACCTACCCATGTGATGACCAAAGCGGTTCAAGGTCTGCGACTCCGGAGATCGAAAGATGAAACAAAACATGACCACATCAGGTCGGTTGAAGAAAGCTAGAGCTGAGGCTTGATCAAAACTTGGTAACGAGGTCGTCGGCAAAAACTCACGGAGAATCAACGTCCGCGGGGTCTGTCTGGAAGTTTCCTGCCAACCTTCATCTACCCTTTGACTGTGGCTCACCTGTGATCCTCCAGTCAAGACCCTAATGTCGAACCTGGATGAATCAAGCTGGTTGGCAAACAATTGAGGGGGCGCTATTTCACGAAAGGGAATGCCACATGTCTGGGACGCACCGTATCACTTCAAGAGACAAGTGCCCACTCTAAGAGACCCTCTTGGCAAGGTCTTGGTGGGGGTGCTCGGGCCATACAAGGGGACCCTGCCCAGAGGGCCACTCTTTTCCCTCCCGCACGAGCTGCGCACCGAGATGGTGGTGGAGCTGAATATCCTTGCTAGAGCCACAAGACCGAACCCCAACCCACCTCATAAAATGCCCGTTTTGTTTGGGGGTGGGCTCACATGCCCAGCGCTTCCTCTAGCAGAAGCGCCTCGGTTCGCAAAGCTAAAGACCCAGGAGAAAGTGCTGCCCAGCCACGACCTGCGTCGGGTAGCGAGACCAAGCTCCTCTGTGGCTGCCCCCACGACCAAAACTTTCTAAACTTCAGTTGGTGGGTGGGAAAATCACATTCGTCTAGCTCCTCCAGAGAGTTTAGAATAAGGGTTCCGTTTCGTTTCTCTGTACTCTATTTTATTACGGGAACCCTCCCCCAAAAAGGGGGCATAGGTGGGAAGATCACATTTGTCCCAAGAAGTTAAAGGCTGAAGATGCGTGACTTTGTTCACGTCAATCTGCCCAAAGTAAACTCAACATGGGCCTAAGCGGTGATGCTTCAAAAAGCAGAAGAAAACATGAAAAGGGGAAGTGTGTAAGGGCGCATGGGCTCGAACAAGTTGGAACCCTTTCTGGGGCGCTTAACGACAAGGTGGAAAAGGAGGAAACCAGGCGATCAGAGCATGTTTTAAAAAGCCTAGACGGCTTTAAGGAGTAACTTGAGAAAATTGGAATTTCCAGAGGCTAATCAACTCGATATTCTTGTTGTAGGTGTCCCGTTGGATAAATGGGTGGTGCCATGTAGGTTAGAGGGAAACCTCATGGTCAGGGAGGAATCGCTGGCAATCAAATTTTCTGCGAACTGACAAGTGCTACAAAACTTGACTACGCACCATAGCCCACTCTCAAATCCCCGCTGCTGTCTGCGATCTCCTTTAGCAAGAGGGAAGGAGAAAGTCGAACTACAAAGCAGCCAAGCTGGTGCTTACTGCTTACCTGGACTGACTGCTAGGAGGAACATGTGCCCTGCGTTGCGTGTCTTATCCCATCACCCAACTACTTGGCAAAGCCATGGGTTCTGCGAAAATTCGAAAATCCGCCAAACAGGCCCGTGCTTTCTGCGCGAACAAGCTGGGCCTGCCATGCGACCCTTGAAAGAGGGAAAATCTTGGATGGCTGCTGAGAGAAACTGCTACCATGACCAGCTTTCATCATGCCTGCAATTTGGCAAGGTGATTCTCCTAGGACTCTTTTGCCACGCACATCTTCGGGAAGCTGCCGAGAAAGCACAAACTCCAAGTTATCCCTTTCAGCAGCAGAGTTGTCCTGTTTCCCCTCTTCCTTGTCTGGTTTAGCAAACCTCAGAGAAATCCGGAGCTTTCGGAGCTTTCGGAGCTTTCGGAGCTTTTGGGATGGGGAGCTGTAAGGTGGTCTTAATGAGTGTTAATCTACACTCAGACCGCCGCCAAGAGGCCCGCAGCGCCCGTGTTTTGCAAAGATTTGTTGGTGGCCGCATCGATGGCCCCTGCGGCGCTCGGGTTGAACACCATTCGGGAGCAGCAACGGGTACCTGTCTGACGATGGGTGTCGTTGTGGAACCCCTCGGAGCCGTGGTTCGGGACGGCAGTCCCGCAAGCGGCGGACCGCGTGCTCGCTCAGCCCCCGTGCAGCGAAGAGGAGCCGGGTTCAGTCGCTGGCCCGCCCGGTGACTGCGAACCGTGACGCTCCGATCATCCTAACAACAACAAATGCAGAGGCTTACCTTTGTTAGAGCAAAACAGCAATTAATCAACAATGATCTGTTTGCCAAGGTTCCCCCGTGCTCACTCGTTCGCAAAAGCAAACAGTCCCAAAAAGTCGAAAGGCCGGGAGATCCTTTCCGAGAATCTAGCCACCCATGTGAAAAGTTCACAAGCGGCTCGTGGCAAGAATTCCAATGACGGGTCTGAGGACCGTAGAGATACGGGCCCCGCCTCTCCATGGGCAATTCCAACAACATGAAATTATGATCAAGGGACATTCATTGTAAAACGAGCTGTTGACTTAACTTGGTTTTACAATACCCCATCCCAATCAAATAATCTAGGCCGGTGCAAGCTAGTGTTCCCCTCACAAAATCTGTTTGGGGGGCAGAATCCCAACAACAGGAAAACGATGTTTCCCTCATGCCTCGAAGGGACCAGTTTCACGCCTCCTTGTCTAGGTCCTCCAGCAGATTGGTTAGAATAAGGGTACCCGATTTTTCCTGTAGTCTATTTTACTAGGGAAACCCTCCCAACCAAAAAAGGGGTTAAGAACGGGCACCTGGCTGGGGGACCTCCGTGTGTTTCCCCAGGGACCTTCAGCCTCTCGCCCTCTCAGCGCCCGGGCAAGGGCGGGAAGGCAAAGAGGCCGCCGAGGAGCTCCAACCTGGGCCAAGGATCAGGGGCTTAGGATTGAGAGGGACGCAAACTCCAAACGATTATCAGGAACATGGAAAAAAAACTCTGGAACATCTAATGGAAACAACAGATTATTAGTTTTCCAACTTGGGAAAGGTGTCCTTTTAGGGGAAATAGATGGCCCTGGTAGATGATTAAACCAACCAGGGCCATCTATTGTTTCTACCAAAACAACCAAACCGGACACCTATGGTCACAACTCCAACTTGTTGAAATCTATAGAACATGGCACGATTCGGACGTGTGCCGTGTACTTTCACCCAATTGAATCGACTGTAATGCTTGGCTGTGATACTACCACGAAGGTCCCTTGGGGATGCAATGCATTGTAAAGAAAACAGGTGTTGGCATGATCCACAATTTCCAAGGGATCGATCGCCAGCTTGATATCAGGACCTAAATGAGTAGCATGGGCGTGTGATTTTCTTGACAACCAACTTGTTCCCTAATCATAGGAGTAAGCTACGTGATCACCTCCACAGCTCCGGATCTGGAGCCATCAGGTCTGGCATTTGGGTTTCTTGGTTTCGTTGAAAACTCGTGGCTTTTGTCTGCGTTCATTGCAGGATGTGGCAGCGGACGATGGAGTGCTTTTTGGAACCAGATGGTGGAAGGCCCATGTTGCAGAATTTTGGACACCTCCAGAAACGCAAGCACCCCCCCTTTTGTAAAGAAAACTCACTGGGCTCCCCTCTAGTCAGGAAATGGCCTACTTCCTCTTTAAAGGGTGCCCTGACTCGCAGGGTCCGGATTGGTCCAAAGCCAAGACCACGCGGCATTCATAGCTTGAAGCAAGGGTCTGAAGTACACAGGGTGCTTGCACCAGCCACACAAAAAACAGCCCCCCGTCATTCGACAGTTGCTTTCGCCCCCTGGGAAAAAATAGTAGTGATCGATTCCCTTTAAAGCCACCAAGCGAAAATGCCCCGACGCCAGCCGTGTAGATGAGAATCAGAAAGCAACTTGGTCTGCTTTTGGAACTGTCCAAAGCCGAAGGCTCCCCTTTAGTGTCCAGTGTTTTTGGCCCCAAGGCCTAAAACGTGCGTTTCGCAACTTGGTCTTGAGGGGGGTTGCCTGTGCTGTTTTGAGCGATGTCGGATTTGGCTTGTTTGCGGTCTTGGCTGTAGTGACGATCTAAGCAACTGCTAAATAGGAAAAAATGTGTGTTTTTGCAAAATCACCACCTGTTCAGGCAAAACATCCCTAGCATTATTGTGTTTTAGAAGTCTACATTTCCATTTGCAGGCCATTTTTCATGGCTGATTTTGGACAAAATCAAAAAAACACATTTTTTGCACGCTGCATCCTCAGCATTGCCTGCATTCCCAGCATTCCCTGCACCCTCTGCATCCCCAGTATGTTTGCGTCCAGGATTTATGGATATGCAATCCGCTGCATCCTCCGCATTCTCTGCAGGGTGGGATGGCAGTTCTTGACGCAATAAGCTTTGAGGGCTTACATGGAGCCTTTATGGGACATATGCGTGGGATAAAATGTCATACGCAGGATACGCAGCAGAAAGTCATACCCCAAATTCGGGGTATAAAAATTGTCGGCCGCAACAAATGCAAGAAGAAGCCGGCCGTGGATAACAAAATGTTGGCCTGGACCGGGATGCAACTATCGTGTTGGTGGTTTCAGAGGGGTGTTTGTACGCCGACCAGGTGCAGCACGAGCAAACTCTCATTTCCTTTCAAGCTTATACCATGTCCTTGCTCCTTTGCCCTCCATGGTATTGGGAATGCTGCTTTTTACAGATCTGCATGATAAACGTGGACAATTAATACTACTACCTCTGTTTATATCAGGGTTTTAGGTTTGGTGGATGATATGCAAAAGATTCAAAAACCATATCGTAGAAAAAGTAAATTCCATGCCTGGTGCTCTGTGTTGCATCCTTTATACTGTGCTTCTTACATTGCGCTTATGTCAATAACGCAGACACGAATTACTATTTGACACCCTTTACATCAACACTCAAGGTAAATGTCCCTGAAAGAATGGGCGACTGCTTTGAGGCGTCGGCAAGCTCGCACAAAAGAGCGCCGTCGTCAAAGCACTTGGATCGCGTTGGCGGAGCGCGTAGCGATTTCAAGAAGCTCTAGGGGTTGATTCCGTTTCCATTCTTTTCAACCATTGTTCTTTCCAAAAAAAGGATCCGTTTTCCCTGCGTTTCCGGAGGTTTTCTAGAAAGATCCGGATCCTGGAAAGAATGGAATGGAAGGTACCCCTAGCTAAGCAATCTGCAGCAAATGGAAGGAGCCCATTTCATCCGAGGGGCAGGAGCTGTAAGGGCCAGAGGTACTCGTAGCCCAACAAAATTCCTGGGCGTCCGTGGGCTCTCACAGATTCCAGGAGGTCATGTTGAAAAATTCGAAAAAGGAAAATGCAAGGAACCCAGGTTAAACACAAATCATTTGCTCAAAACATGGGTGGTGTCCCTTTGGATCCCTGTTTGTATTGTTTTGGTGTCCAATCAGGGATTCTCCGAAGAAACGATCCAGACAAGGGTAGAAATGTGGTCTCGGGCAAAGGGACACCAAAGGAAAGCAGTGTTCTATCCTTGGGTTTAAGCTTATGGTGAGGCTTGTAGCAACACAGAGAGTGGGATCTGTGCTTTGGGAGTCCCTTCAAGCACAATGCACACGCCAACGGAAAAACAAAAAAAACTGGGTGTTCCTTTAACTTCCCACGAAAATAGATGCGGTCGTCCTCTTCTGCGGTTTCCTTCTTCATGGTGGTGACCTCGCGATTTTATCACAAAAATTGGCTCGGAGCCTTGCGGGATCCCTCTGATTGCGAGACAAAATGGTTGGCCAAAATGGGGCCTTGGCTTTCCTTCATCCTGAAAGCAGCTACCTCATCCAACCAATACATGTGTGTCTATCAGGTCGGAAACCTTCCCTCGGTTCCCCTCAAAGCCTCTAACCTATTTGGAGACAAGCTCAAAGGAGAGGTTCCGAGCAAGACATGGGTGTGGCTCAAAAGTAAACAGGAGGGGCAAACCAAAGGTTTTGGTCCATGTTTCCACCAGGGCAACCCATTTTGGAATTCCGGCTTTTTTGAGCCACAGCCACGTGTCTACATATTTAAAACACACACCTCCCGAACAGACCTGCGCTTCGCCTTGAGGGCCTGACGAGACGGCAGGAACGCCCAGCACCGCGGCTGAAAGGAAGTTGAGGGCCCCCTGTTTGAGGGTCTGGGTGATTTTCTCAACACGATCCTGGCTCTCAGGGAAGGAGTCAATGAGGGAACCCCTACTGTGGATGGACGGAATCCACCACAGCATGATGACTGTAGATACCAACAAGCAATGGTTTCCTGTGGTTTCCAAGTGGTGCGAATCGGATTTCGTCCATCCACTCAATGAATCCCGCCTTGTGCTGCTTCCCCTTTGTCCGGCATGCCGAGGTTCATTCCCACCTGAAAAATTCCTCATCTTCACCCTTGGGGTGGAAGTGGGGGGGGGGGCTCCCGCTCTCCCCGTTGGTTTTTTCTGGCTCAAAGCACCAAACCGCCCATCCACCAATGAAGTGTTTGTTCTGGCTAGAAAGAGAAATGCCCCCCCCCCACTGAAAACCAGCAACTCAGATTGGCCGACTCCTGGTATGCACACCAGTTGATTGGCTCATCAAACCTTGACCATTGTGGCTTCAATGAATGAAACCAACCATTGAAGGGCTCAAACTGGCCATGGGTCAAGAGATCTTGGCCTTTTAGCAAAATACACTGGAGCTAAGGGATCTCCAAGTGAGGAACCTTCATCATGAATCATGACCCGTGCAGAGAAATGCGAATGCTGAATGCCGCCAAAGAGCCCAGCACCCATATTCCGCCCACAGCCGCAGCCACCTGCCGTGAGCCGTGTCAAAGAAGAACGTGAAACCCACCAGTCAGATTCCATGGTGGGAGGGGGTACCATTTTTTAAGGGGTCTAATTCTAGGCGTACCTTCCATTTCCACACTTTCCAGGGATCCTTCTTTCTAGAAAACCTCCGAAAACCCAGGGAAAACGGCCCTGTTGTTGGAAAGAACGATGGGGAATCAACCCCTAGACTAATCTGAACCCTTTCCAGGGTCTCCCCTCTTTCCAACAAACCTGACAGCAGTTCAGGACGACAACAGGAACAACCTGTAGCGGTCGAAACATCAAGCGTTTGGTTTGAGGCACATCGAAGAAATGGGGTTCCCCGGTTCAGGGACAAGCCACCCACTTCACAACTCGTGGGGCTTCTTTTGCATTTCTCTTTTCAAAAACTTCATCAAAACAAAAAAAAGGCCAGATGACCCAAGAAGATGAGAGAGACGCTTGTTCCATGGAGTATGGACTACCTGACACAAGTGGCAATCCGTGAGATCGTGTTTTGTCAGGGCCAGTGTCTCGGCGCGGTCAAAGATCCCTTGCGGCTTGAAAGGCTGCCCCATCCAGCGACTGACCAAAGGCTGGTCCCCCCTAACCACAGATCATCTGCACATGCCGGTGGCCTCAGATCCTTCATCCAAACTCCAGAACGTATCTAGAAACCACTCCGTTTCAACAGCTCGGCCCGGGAAATCTGGAGTCCAATGAGAGCATTCCACGCAGGCGCAGACCAGTTTGCTGAGATTCGCATCTCCGAGTCCTGGGAGCCGAAGAGCTTCGCAAAAATTGGCCCGGCACCCTACGGCGGAGAAGGGGGGGCTTCTCGCAAAATCTGCGGGTGGACGTTGACGGGTTTTGTCAGATCCGGATCCCTCGTGCACGGTGCTGGCGCCGCCCCGGTTCGTTCACGGGTGATTTGTTTCAACCGGGTCGGTGAGACCCAGGTCTCGACCTCAGCATCTCTGGAGGTTTGGAGAGGGAATTCCGCGTGATTGCACTTGCAACAGTTGGGGAATCCACAGGCCCGAGAATGGCCGAAATGAATCTCCCCAGTGCTGAAGCCTTCTTCATGCTCTCCGCGTCCATGCTCGCGGAGCGTTTATGGACCTTCTTCTCCTCCTGGCAAAAACAACTTGATTCCAGGAAAGATCGGCGCTCAGCATGTGAGATAGCACACATGTGAAGATTTCAGCCAGGAAATGGGTGGGCCACAATTGGATGCTCATGTAACTTGTAAACGGATTGCTACTCTTACACCGAATCCCCACGGGACCTTTGAGGGTGAGCCCGCTTTGCCGCGGACCGGTGAGCTAATTACTGCAGAAAGATGAGCAGATCCGGATAAACACATTCACCCCCCAAACTCAGTGCTCGCGTATAAGTAACTAAATGATCACGAACTCACGAACTGTCACGAACATGTTGCTAGTATGATACGAGTTCAATCTGATTTTCTAGTTGTTCGGGCCTCTAATACCATAGTCGAATCTAAAAGGCACCTTCGTACTTCGTTTCGCTTCGTTGCCTCAGCTACCGAGTTCGATTCGGCAAGGCGAAAGGCCAGTTCACCAAAGCCACGTGTTGAACGAAATCTCGAAGGAAAACTCGGGACTGCGCGAGGTTCGTCTTGGAGGCCAGCTTTTGCACAGAATTCATGCCTCGGGCGTTACGGAAAAATGCAGCCGAAAATCCGAGTTGGCAAAAAAACAAGCTGGCGCCGTTTTTTGGCTCGAGATCCTCGTTGCCAGCTTCCACCTTCTTTTGTTTTTTTTCTTTTCCGGCGCGGGCGAGGCATCGAACGGAAATACACTGCAGCTGCCCGAAACCTGGGCTGTCCGTTTTCAGATCCGGCGAACAGTGACCAGCTTTTAGTGGGTGAAACGGGAAATCCAACCACTAAACACGAACAGGAACCGGATGGATGGATGGATGGATGGATGGATGGATGGATGGATGGATGGATGGATGGATGGATGGATGGATGGATGGATGGATGGGAGCCACCAAGAAACATGAGGAGGAAGCCGAAGGCCCCCAAAAAGGGGGAACAAGCCTGTTTTTTTTTTTTGGAAGGTGGGCAACGTCATCCACATATGGGTATGTGTTTCTTGAGGATTCCCTTTTTGGCCCGTTTTTTTAAAAGGAAACCAAAAGCAAACCAACCGGTTTTGGGGGCCAAATCCCAATTTTGACACAAACCCCATATTTCACACACCTCCTCGGGTGTGTGGTTGCTCCAGAAAAAAAGACATCGCATGCTTCTCCAAGTATATCTTATAGGTTGTTGAGCAGCAAGGAAGACTGGATTCTTGCATAGCTCGTGGAACGTCCGTTCGTACCGTCGGGCCTATCTTTTGCCTGTGGTGCCTGTGTGTGTGTGTGTGTGTTCAGGATACCCTTTCTAGATGTTTGGAGTCCCTTATTTTGACATATACCCATTTGGGTGTGCCTAAGAATTGACCAAGGTGCTTCAAACTTCAGGATGGCAAAGTCTCAAAGTCTCAGCAAAACCGATCTGAAAATGGCATGGCTTGGCAAAGGCATGACTTGAGACTGAAAGCTTTCCGCGACCCTGGACTTGTGTCTGCCCTCATTACTATGATTCACCAACCGGATATCAACTCCCCCCCCAAACAAAAAAGAAAGAAAAACAACGGAAAGAACAAAACCAAAAGCAACAAAAAGAGACACACAACAAACACGAGGCACCGACTCAACAACTCAACGAAAAAGGCACACCCATGTGATTCCTTTGAGGAGTGACGCAATTTCCAGTGGCCGACCAAAAATCCCTCACGTCCTGCTGGCCAAAGGCCTGACGGCGGGCAGTAGGTCAGCGTCAAAGCTCTAAGCCCTCAAGGCACCTTTCAAGGATCCCCTGAGTCAAGTCTTGGTGAGCCCAAAACCCAAAATGGGAGAAGAACTAAGAACATGCCTGACCAGGTGGAAGAACTTATCCCAAAATGGATAACAACCTGAAATGGAAGAACTTAATTGCTTAATGGGCATGAACAACTGCTTGGGTTGAACTTATTCATGCCCACCCCCAGCCGCCCCGAGTAAAACAAAAGGGCTTGACCTCGTTCTTGGCATGCCAGCCTCACGCACATTTGGCTGACAGACGGATAGCTGACCCAGTTGCCCATTCAAAGAGGCATTGCTTTTGCACATAGCATTCTGAATTGGTTCTTCTTGGATCATCCGGCGCCCTGTTGCTTAGTCCAAATCCTAGGCTGATGAATAGAGGGGGCATCACTGTCTTGCTTTGGGGAGGTGTCGAGGTCCCGGTGCCAGAAGAATCACGCTGGATTCTGTCGACGTCTGCTGCTCTCTTGGGAAAGACACCAAAAATGTGGGTTTGTGATTGTTCGACCCCTTTTTGTGACTGTTTTAACGGGAAACCATAAGCAAGCCAACCAGTTTGCGGGGTGCAAACAAAACCACGAGCCCTCTTTGCATATTCCCTTTGGCATCCCCTCCATTGAGTGCCACTTCCCTCTTACCTTTGGACTTTTGCATATTCTCTTCCCTTCCATTTAGTTCCCCTCCCCTCTTTCAGTTTCCCCTTTGGCTTCCCCTTTGCCCGAGAATGATGTGTTGACCCTTGATAGACAAAGTCACCAGGAACAGCAACAAGAGGTCTTGCCAAAAATTGGATGAGGACCCGTAGGTGGTGTCCGCGTGTCCCTTTTGCTGGGATCAGATTGGCATCCCTCCAGCAGGAAACCTAAGTTTGTGGGGAGACAATGATGTTCTTCTTTCGAACAAGGTAGCCCATAAAGCACCCCCACCTGAGCTTCGTTGTGTTTCTCTTTCATTCTAAAGCAACCCCACACAGGATACCGGGTACCATCTTAAAAATAAGGACACTGGTTTCCTGAGTGGATACCAAAAAGCTCAAAGTGCTCCAAACAAATGTGCTTTTTGAGGGTACCCGTTTCGGGTTGCTTTGAAGGAACACCAAACAGAAAGACTACCATCTTTAGGGTCAAACTCCCTATTTTGACACACCCCGGTCACGCTTTCCAAAACTTGGCCCACATCTGGAGTATCCCACAAACAGACGTTCAATTCCTCCATATTTATCCCCACAAGTTGGTAGTTTTACGCTTGATCTTCAGTCTCAAGATGGGCACTCTCCCCAAAAAGACCAACTTCCGTTTCTTTCTCCCCCCAAACAGGAGGCTTTTCCTTGCGACCCTTTAAACCAAGTTTAAACCAGCCCTCAGAAAGTAAGATTGTCCGACTCTTCCAGATTTAGCCGCCCTCAAAAAATACGTTGTGTGGAGAGCCCCTTGTTCCAGGCGCCCCGAAAGACACACACACACACACACACACACAACCAACCAACCAACCAACCAACCAACCAACCAACCAACCAAACAACCAAACAACCAAACAACCAAACAACCAAACAACCAAACAACCAAACAACCAAACAACCAAACAACCAAACCAACTAACCAACCAACCAACCAACCAACCAACCAACCAACCAACCAGCCAAATTAAAAATATAAATTTAATTATTATTATTATTATTATAAAAAAAGAAGAAGAAGCAAGCAAGCAACCAACCAACCAACCAAGCAACCAAACAACCAAATAAATAAAATAAATAGATAAATAGACAAATAGATAAATAAATAAAACAAACAACCAACCAACCAACTAACCAAAAAAGAAAAAGAAAACAACCAACCAAACAAATAACCCAAAAAAAAAAAAAAAAAAACAACCAACCAACCAACCAAACAAACAAACAAACAAACAAACAAGCCCAGCACACACGCTCACACACACACACACAGCACTTGACGGCGCCTGGTAGGGCTGGATGTTCGGCGGCGCCATGGAGATCACCTTGTTCCCCGAGGGAGACCTCAGCGATGGAGGCCGTTCGTTTTTGCCGTGGACCGCAAACACTTGGATTTTCTGCTTGTTCGTGGGGAAACAAACATGCGCTCAAAAAAAACAAGCGTGCATAACCGAATTTGCGTATGAGCCATGTCTAACAGGGAATCGCGTATTCAACCGTATGTTGGCGTATGAACCATACTCAGCTTCTCTCTGGTTAATGGTTTGGACCTTCACCAGCTCGATCTGCCGAGTAAGAGGGCCCCTCAAAAGCCGAGGTGGTGCTTTAGATTTCTGACATGCCCCGTTTTATGTGGTGTGGTTTTGAGGCTCAGTACCCTATAAAGTTGGTTAAGAGGGAAGCCAAAAGGGAAACCATGATTTAGGGCTAGTTTCACGCATATCCATCTGTCCATACTGTGTATGGTTACAAAATCCACCGAAACAACTTGAATTCTAAAATGAACCACCTGTGAACAGTTGCAAGTGGATTTTGACCCGTCCACACAGTGTGTGTCTCTGAATCAGAGATGGAGACCCGAGATGGCTTCAAAACACCAACAAAAAAAGGTGCCCAAAGTAGATCTATGGTCCCTTGGGCGGCAAAATGTGGGGACTCTCCATCAAAGACCTGAGATGCTCCCCCCCAAACAGGTTCCTTAGCTTCCTGAAACCTTGAGTGGACTGGCCCAAAAGACCCCCAGACTTGTTTGCCAGAATCTAGACCCAAAAAGTGTGGGAGACAACTTCACCCGAAACCCCGGATCTGTCCTGCGCTTCCGGGGAAAAATGGAAAAAGGACGAAACTGCTTGGATGGCCAAATGGAATACCCCCGAAAAGAAAACATGAACAAACAGTCGCCACGCGGCAACTGGAGAACATGTGTCATGGAAGGCGTCGGTGCTTCAATTGAGAACCAGGGCCCTTTTTGATGGTTTGTAATGCCCTGGAGGGGAACACCTATGAATAAACTGGGGTTGAGTAGGGGTCAACATCAACGGGCGGCCAAAGAAAACTCCCCCCCCTTCTCAAGATGCGGGTGTGAATTCAACTGAGAACACTCTGGTGGAGCGCACTTCGGGGGCTTTGTCTGCCAACCACTGGGAGGGCATCATATTACTAATTACATATCAATTTGTATTATTCAATCCAATAGATCATTTTTTAATGATTCAAATATTAACCATAACACAATCTCTATAAATCCTTTATAGTTCCTTTATGCATAATTCCTCCTCAAAGCTCATAGCCAATGTGTGAGGGAGACCCAACGAGACATTCCAAGCCCTTCCCAACGAGCGGGTGCCCGACTCCAGGTCCGAAGTCGTCATCTCGGGGTTCCCATGGCGCTTCATGGCGCGCTTGCGCCCAACTCAAGAAGCGGAGCTCTGTGTCGCGGTCGAAAAACCGGGCGGTCGAAGACTCGTGAAGAAACTGGAGCCGTCCGGTTTTTGTTTCGGATGGAGGTGTTGCGAACATGGGGGTTGCAGTGGGTGAGGCTGGGTCGGACGTGTTTCTGGTGTGTGAAGGTGACGCTGGCCGGCGAAGTTAAACTAGGAGGCAACCATCGCCTGTCCAGTCCATTGGGCGGGCTTCTGATGAAATCCGCCTGAAGCTTTTTGAGCCAAAAGACACACGCGGGACTAAAAGGTCGAAGCTCCATTTGAATAAACAGCACGTGGCATGCTCTAGCCCGGTGATTTGCGCACGCAAATAGAAGGGGAGCCCGCTGTTTAGGCTGGGCGCCTAAATTCTAGGGTTGAGAGGGACTTTGAAACCGAATTCGGTTGCGACCATAAGAGTCATGTGTGATCATTTGTCCCTTATATTGCCCTCACTTCCCGAGTGGATTGTAGCCAAAACGAGTCCGAGCTTTGCGTTTACCACTAAGAAAACAAGTGTTTCAAGTCCACCAACTCGGGGACTGAGTACCTGTGAGGCTCAAACCAAGGCCACTTGCCCAACCCCCTCCCCCTGCGCCCCATTTTTCTGTTCCGTCAACACCGCCGTCCAGGCAGCGGCCTCCGTGAAGGAAACGAGCCGAGGCAGAATGACCAAACCCGGTGGGTGGGGTGGGTGGGGTGGGTGGGGTGGGTGGGGTGGGGTGGCAAGAAAAGAGCACGGCAGGGACCCGGGGAACACAAGGAATATGCTTTCTCTTCAGCCGCAAGGGGGGGAGGGTCCCATCATTCTTCTCGGCAGTGAGATGGAGTTTTCTGGGATGTTCAGTTCTCTCTGCCTCGCTGCCTGATGACTGCTTGCGATGCCCAGCCTCCAGCCAAGATCCAAATCTTCATATCACTTCAGCAGCTGTTGACATAGATAAGTGTCTTACTAAAAGGGGAGCCACCCCTGAGAGGTATGGTCCTCCGGATTAATCCGAAGTTAGCAGTAAGATGTTACATGTTGCTCCAGAAAAGAACGAGTATGCCATGAGCCATGGGTGGTGGCAGGCAGTCAGCACTCTAGGTCCGAGTCTAGGTGGGTCTTGAACGGGAGCCTTGCTTGGTTGTTTTGGGTTCATCTTAAAATGGGTGACCCCCAACAAGTGGATCTGTCCTCTTCACTTCCCAACCCCCCCGGCCCCGCCTCAAACTTGGCCGCCAGCCTAGTCCGACAGGTGTGGCCGGTCCATCAAAATCGCCACACCCAACCAATCGGTACACGAAAGGCGCACAGGGGAGACTTGAACGAGCAAAATGGGCCAGACTGATTGTTACTAACTATACACTGCAGATTCACATGACACAAAATATGGAGAGGAAACTCCCTTAGGAGACCCCTTTTTGGCTCGATGCGAAAATTTGCAGACCACGGCCACAAGGGAGCAGTATGCCTATTGCTGGGCCGATGGCAGGTCCCTGCACATTCCCTGGGAAGCCGCGCAAAGAAAAACGTTCGCAACCAAAGGAATTGTACCACAGACATTAGACACCTGAACATTGCCTTGTAAAATGGTGGTGTCCCCTTCATTTTGGTGGAAAAAGCCACATGGCTGCAACATGTATCTTTTAAGGAGCCCTGGACAAGGTGTTGAAAAGGCCGCATCGGGGCGAAGCATGGCTGATCTGTGTTCACCCGCGAGGCCAGTTCACATGCTGAATGCCTCTGACCACATGGCGGAGAAGGCTGATGTTGTAGGCCTCGCCGTTTTCGGATTTATCCCAAAATCCGAAGGACAATTCCATGAAGGCGCCGGTGTTGTGGGGGCAAGAGAGTAGAACCCCCCCACAAGGCCCACTTAGAGCCTTTCCGAACTCCACGGCCATCGCCCACTGACCCCCGATTTGGTTGTCTGTTCCCAAAATCTATCGGTTGGCCTGTGGGTCAAACAAACCCATACCTGAAACCACCGTGTTCCCCACCACTGTGGTCTTTCTTGTTGGGAAGCCCAAGGGAAAAACCCAACGCAAACGGGAAATCACTGGAAGCCATCCAACCATCCAACCAACCAACCAACCAACCAACCAACCAACAAACCAACCAACCAACCAACCAACCAACCAACCAACCAACCAACCCACTAACCCACCAAGCATGGCCCGTGCCCTCGCTCGCCTGATGTTGCCGCAGATGAAGCGCCCTGGCCGGGATCCATCGAATGGAGCGGATCTGCTTCAAGGCAACTTGGTTGCTGTTGACCCCTCTGCAAAAAGTGGTCAACTTTTTGTGGGTTTAGTGGGTTTGACCCCTTGATTCTGCAAAAAAGTTAAAGTCGAAAGATCCCACCCAATAGCAGTCAAGGCAATGGGCCCTGGTTTTACCGACTGGCCTGAGAAATGGCTGCACAGGTTGGTGTCCTCAATCCATGCCATGGCCAAGTTCAGGCATGGGCTCAAGTGTTGCTCAACAACTCTCGGCGGATGCCAACGGATTAAATACGAAGCGCAGACTTCCGAATTTCTGGCGCAGGTCGTGGTCACCGGAGACCCGCGGGTACCCGCAGCTTCGCTCTCTGCGTGCGAGGAAAAGGGGGGGGGTTCTCCAATCTCACTTTGTCACCCCCAAATCTCCTCCATAAAGAAAAGCACCTGCAGGGGTGGGTCCCTGTGATGACATCGTGGATCTGAAGTGAGAACGAATCCGCCAAGGGAGGGGTGATGCAAAGCTGATTCCTCCCTCCCTTCCAGTGGGCTGCGCAGTTGCTTGGAACAAAAGTCAAGGGGGGTAAGCACGTAAGCACTTACCCCTGTTTTGAGGCACATGCTAAGGACACGGGAAGCTTGGGGTAGAAACCAATGGTTCTGCATAAAATAGAAAACCAATTGTATGTTGGTTGGATCCATGTGTGTTTTTACCTTGAGCCTTCTCCGGTTGAAACAAACGGTGTCCTCTTAGGGGAAATAGATGGCCCTGGTAGATGATGAAACCACCAGGTAAACCAGGAATCGAAACCCCTCGACTTTTCGGTCGCAAAACCACCAAAAATTGGACGCCTATGGTCGGAACTCCCAACAAAAACTCGCGAGAGGAGATGTTGAGCCCCCCCGGTGTTTGCCGGCGCCTTCTTGGGAGCCGCGGCCGAAGCCCACGCCGACGGCAGCTTCGCCGGAGTCGGCGTCGGCTTCGGCGCCGGCTTCGGCGGGGGGTCCTCTGGCGGCCCCAGCCAGTCGGAAGCGCTCTGGGGGGCCTGCGCGGCTCGGGCGGCCGGCGGCCCAGAGCAACCGCCTGGGGCATTCTTTGGAGGGAACCTGGAATCTCCATGACTCTTCTGGGCCCGTTTTCTGATCCCCCGCTAAAAGTGAAGTGGCTTGAATGGAAACTACCACTAAACACGAAAAGGCTAAAAAGTTTAGGGGATAGCTGGGAGCCACCAAGTTTTGAAGGCGTCATGAACTTTTAATGTTGGTCCTAGTAGACAGCCTGTTAGAGTCATGAAGACTCCAGGTTGACTTATGGCGGAAAGCTGAGAAGCAGACTGACATTCTGGGGGTCAACTCCCCATATTGACACATACCCAAACCGGGTGCGGCCCATCTTAGGGTCCCCGGGACCTTCGATGGCGATTGGGTGTCAGATCTCCAAAGGTCCCAGTTCCAATCCAAGCGGAGGGTGCAGGGGGATCAAGTTTGGGGGTGGGGGAGCCAGAAATGGCGGCCTTTCGCTCTTCCGCCCTTCCTGCAGAATGCCGAAAAAATGCAGAAGGGTCGAGCTTCAAATCCCCCAAAGAAAGATACTAGCCTGTGGAGTGAAGAGAGAGAGAGAGAGAGAGCGAGAGAGAGAGAGAGAGAGCGAGAGAGAGAGAGAGAGAGAGAGAGAGAGAGAGAGAGCGAGAGAGAGAGAGAGAGAGACCAACAAAAAGAAAGCATAATAGTACGAACAGAAAGAGCACCGTTTTTGTTGCTTGAGAGCACCGTTTTTATCGCTCCCAAGAGCGATCAACGGCAGGTCGTCTCTTCGTTCGGGCCCCCGCCTTGGATAGGCCGCCGTTGCTCCTGAGAAAAAGTCGCTCGATCGCTGGGACCCACTGGCGAGGAACCCACTCGATATGCCATGGGTCAAAAGCCCGTACCAATCCAACCACTAAAATAGGAAGCCTAAAATGGGTGGTGAATTCACCTACCAACCAAAATGGAAGCATTGGTTTTGACCCACAACCATGACATTGCTTTTTTAGGGTGTTTTCTCAGAAAACCACCAACCACCCAGGGGAATTCGCGATCGGTGTTTGAAAAGAACGATGGCTGAAAAGAATGGGGAATCAACCCCTAGACATGCGATTTCCATGGTTTCTCAGGCGCATCTCCGAGCCAATCGGATTGACTGCGGTTGGAAAGAGGTCGAGATACATGGAACCCAACTCAAAAGACCATCATGCTCAGCTGAATCCCGTTGAGGTCCCTTGGGCACAATATTCGTCATCGCGACAAGCTTGAATATCGACTTGGGAAATGCGCGAGTGTGTGTGTGTGTGTGTCATGGGCGACCACCGACTAAACGCAACAATAAACTGCAAAGTCTGCAAAGAACAAACCTGAAATACGACTTGGATCGCCAATTGAAGGGACCTACATCATAGTACGCTCAGCTCATTTTACCCCCAGATGGGTGAGCTCGCCATCAAAAAGGCAAATCCATAAATTGATTTCACGTTGAAGTGTCTGGTATTGTTCATCACATCTGCCCCTGCGCTGTCTGTTCCAGTCTGCTCATACAACCCCCGTTTTTCATACACCTCGCAGATTCAGCTGGCTTTCTCCAAGAAAAACAAACAAAAACAAACGGGTTGCACGGCTTTGTGGTTGGCCCTTGCCTCCCTTCCTCGGATTGGCCAAGCGAAAACGTTCTTAAACTTTTGCTAAGATGTCTTTCCAAGCATGAAGTCTAGGAACTCAAGGACTGAGTTTCAAAACAAAGAAATATAAAATGGTGTTTTGTCTATGCCCACTGTCACGGCGGTTTCCAGGATCTCTGGTTGACATGGTCTAAAGGGACCTCCTTTCAGCTTCCATGGATAGCGGGCTGGGGAAACCACCGAAAAGTGTTCACGCACCCGAATAGTTTTGCAAAAGGGGTGTCCGTGTACAGCAACAATCAACTGCCAAGGTTCCATTTCTTTTGGAAGCATATAGTTCGTGGGAAACCATGCACCAAACAAGAAAGATGAGTAGGATGCCACTGAGAAGGTAACTGGCCTCATTATTTTGCCATGATCAAAGTCATCCCCTGATTGGTGGGTTAAAGGGAAACAACCGAATCCATTTTCTGACTTTGAATACCCCCAGAAACCGTCAAAACAATCACCCCAGCCTAAACCCCAATTCTCCGCAAGGCTTGAAAAACTCCCATCGGCCTTGTCGGGCAGGCCAGGCGCAGGCACCCAGGGAAAGGCTAGAAGGTGTGTCATCCCGAAGCTTTGTCCAGTGCAACCCGAAACCCGGCGAAACCGAAACGCGAGCAACCGAGCACTCCCCTGCGGCCAAAGGCACGGTGGCCACACCGGCCAAGCCACGTCTGACCTGGGCGACAAATTTGGCAAATTGCATTGCGTCGCATGGTGCCAGGATCATGGTAAGGCCCGAGAGGGTACTTGGCTGCGTTTTGTGACTTGGCGATCCTTGGCTCTAAAAATGCGACTGCCGACGAAATGCCACTAGTTCTGTTTTTTTTTTTGGGGGGGGGGGTTAGGCAGCACCGTTCTCTGAGTTCCCGACCCTCCCGGATCTAAGGGGAAAAGGAATGGACCGAACCCGGCAGAAAACTTCCGAAATCCCAGTGCTAAGTGGCGATAGGTCCCAAAGGATTGGACTCCCAGCATTCTCAGCTGACAAACAATGCAGACCGAGAGCACAAAGGAAGTTCTGGTCGGTGTTCCTGTTCTGGCAGTTGCCTGTGTCTTGGACTCTCATAAGACGGAGAAAAGGCTGAGCGCCAATCTTTCGAATCTGTCCGCAAGGAACAGCGCCAGAGATCGGCCAGTTGTCAAACTCAAGGAGTCGATTTGGGGGAACAAGAAGCTTGTTCCCCAAAACATCCACCATCTTCCCTTCGCAGACGGCACCCTTCATTTGTCCGAACGCATTTGGGATGAGCATTGACCTTTGCAAAACGGGATTTGCATTGGGATGTCTGTCCACCCGGAAGTAGTGCGATCAAAGTTAAACGCCCCACGAGGTATTACATAAACACTTCCCCCCTTCCGTCGCGCCGTACAGAAATCGGTTCCCCGGCTTCGCTTCCTCTGACCAGTCCGCCCAAGCTCCTGTCTCAACCCACGTAGGTAACCACGCTTATGGCTGGGAAAGATGGGGGGGTGGCTCTGTTTGGGTGGGAAACACTAGTAAACGCCCAGTTGATTTATACGAGGTGTTCCCTTTAGGGGGGGGGGGTTATCACTTTTGGAGGGAACACCTTTTAGGGCGGGTTCTACTTGGATCCGGGGTGAAGATCAACCACGGTTGCAATCTAGGCACCATGGAGACAGTTCAAGTTGCAGGGATGGGACCCTCCCTGTTCCGCGTGAAAGTCGTCTGGGGTGTACAGGGAAACGAGAAGACAAACGCCATTCAAGAGGGGTCCCTTGTTGAAAATCAAAAAATCCCCAGGGAGGACAACATTACAAGACCTCGTTTAATGACCCTTTCCGGCATTGAGAAGCATGAAAGATCATTCCCATGGCTCCCCTTGCTCTGAATCAGAGGAATCGAGCAAAGCCGGGTCCAGGAGGGGGCATCACTGGCTATTGGAAAGCCCTTCCAATGGCCATGAACCAGCAAGACCCTGTCAAGGAACCCAGTGGATAGCATCACTCGACGCGGAGATTCCCTGAGTCGGGATGGATTCCCCATTAAACAAGACACCACCCAAAGGAGGCTCACTTTGAATTGGCACAAAAGGCGGTGTCTAAAGCCACGCAAAGGGTGAGATCTTGCTTTACGGGAGAGATCTTGACCAAGGCCCACATCATGAGCAGCGCCCAAAATCTACTTTGGGTTTATATACGTTTCAATATAACCCCCGTATAAAACCGGGTAGAAAAAACGGTCAATGGCGCGCTCAACGCGCTCCGAACGCGCCATCGTAAGTCTGGACTACTTCCAAAAGCCCTCGACAACCAGTGGGAACTGCCCAGAAATACTGTGGATGGACGAAATCCATTTCGCACCACCTAAGAAACCCTGGAATGACGATTTTCCTGTAAATACCAACCAACCATGGTTTCCCATTGTTTCCAAGTGGTGCAGGATTTCGTCCATCCACAGTACAACTCAACCAAAAATTATTGAAGGAACCCCAAGCCAGGAACCTTCATGAGCAAGTTTTAAGCCCCGGATCGAGCGGAGAGCTCGTTATGAGTTGTCTAGGTGTATGCAGAAAAACCCGTCTCCGGTTCACCGTTGGTTCGGGCTCTTGCTGGCCTCATGATGTTACCATGGTCAAAGTCACCCCCTAAGTGGTGGGTTAAAGGGAAACAACCGATTCCCTTTTTTCGACTTTGATGACCCCCAGAAACCCTCAACATAATAACCCCTGTCTTGCCTTACGAACACGCCGCCGACTCACAGCACGAATGGGTTGACCCTCCGTTCCTCGAGCATGTCGCCTAAGGGCCTGGCGAGCCAAATGTGTGTGTATATATATATATATAAATATATACGGCCATGGGTCAAAATCTCGTACCCCCAGTGAACATCCCAATCCCCACTAAAATAGGTTCTAAAATGGGTGGCGAATTCACCTACCCCAAAATGGGATCCCATTGGTTTTGACCAGCCACATATAAATATGTATATATATATATGTGTTGTACATTGGAGCCGTTGGTTTGGGAACCAGAATCGGTCCTTCCCGGAGCCAAAAAGAAAAGCGGGTCAAGGTGCTTCACGCGCTCGAACAAAACAGCTCAAGCAAAGCATCGGAGCCTGAGAAAGGCACTTGAAAACACTGCAGTTGTCCAGGTGTTTGGGCTGTAGAACATATTCTGCGCATTTTTTTAGAGTTTGAGGGGGGCAATCCGAGCAGGGGCCTAATGGATAAGATTAGATGAGATTGGATTAGGTAAATAGACAGGAACACACATAGATAGAGAGACGGAAAGAGAGAGAGATAGAGAGAGAGATAGAGAGAGAGAGAGAGATGGAGAGATAGAGAGAGAGAGAGAGATAGAGAGAGAGAGAGAGAGAGCAAGAATAAAGACGTATGCATGAGTATGATATGTACGTATACACAAATCTTCAATCCCCGCGCGTATCCTCCGAGTCTTTACATTGTGGTCAAAGGGATCCTCGCACAATGCCAGTCTTTTGAGAACTCCTGCATTTCTTAACTTGCGCTTGCACATCCTCTCCTTCTCTAGGACGGCACCGCTGTGTCTCGCATTCACTTGAACCCATTGATGTGACAGCAGGTCAAATGGTGAAACTCTACACACAGAAGCGTTCGATCATGAAACAGGCGAATGTGACTCTGCAAAGACACAACAACTGTCAATCGGTCCAGGTGTGTAGCGAATTTGGGAACCGCCCCTTTTGGGATGGTATCAAAAAATGAAATTGACCAATAGCCAAAAGGAAGACAAAAAACGATGCATCCCCTGTCCGCTTGATTGCTCTTGCCATCCTTCGGCTAGCAGTCAGTTGGTGGCAATCAATGTCAATACACCAGGCTCATGTGAGTCATAATCAAAGCCTACAAAAATGATGAAGCCAGAACCATGTAAAGAACTAGAAAGGCGGCCGCAACTAATTCTGGCTGGGTCTTTCCCTTACTAACTTTCACTTACCCGGGTTGTTGATTGCGACTCATGTTGCAATCCCCAGAGCGCATGTTCCAGCCTGAACATCTAAAGCCGAAAACACCTTGAAGACAAACCAGACAAGAGGAGCAACGGCTCGAGGGTGGGGTCCTCCAACTCCAAGGATGTTCTTCTCCCCACACAAACTGGAACAAATGAGCGTGTGTGTTTTTCGAAACGGACCCCCCCCCCCAACGCTGGATGTCCCTTTAAACCAACAAGAAAAACACTTGATGTCCCTTTAAACCCACTTCAAAAGGTACCCTCAAAAAAAGGCAACACACACACACACACACAAATGGTCAAAAAACCGGTGCCAAAATGGCACCCTGGCAAGTGGAAACATGGACCAGAACCTGCGGCTCGCCCCTCCTGCTTCGTTTTGAGCCAATGACTTCGCAACCCACCCATCCCAAGCTCCCGGGATCTCTCCGCCTGGCGCTCGGCAGGGCGCTCAGGGCTCGGCCAGGCCTCGCGTCAAAGGACGGCGGCGAGCGCCGTGAGCGGGGTTCAGAACCCAAGGCCTTCCAAATCAGTGATCAAAACCCGGTATTCAACTGCCCAGAACCATGTAAAGAATTAAGAAGGCAGCTATTTGTGGTTGGGAGTATCCCTTACTGACCTTCATCTTATTCGGGCTTTGATTGTGGCTCACCTGTTGTCTCTGGTCTCCATGACCCTTCAAAAAATGGGGGATGAACCCTTCAGCATGGAGAATTCGGGTAGACCGGCACGACTCCAGCACGACTCTGCCGAAACAAATCGACTGCTATAGCAGGATATCGTGACTCCGCAGCCATTCAGGCAGCACATGGGAATTGGAAAATTGAATAGTTGTTCTTTTGCTTTTTTCTGGGAAGATTCGCCCCTTGTTTGGAGTTTGGTTCGCTTCGCTTGCCAGAGCCTCTACACTTTGATCGATCCCGGCGATCGAATGAGGCTCAAGAGCGGTGACCCGGCCATTTTCTCGGAGAAACAAAAGAGGATTCTCTCGGAGACGCGCGATTTACACTCCTGTCCACTCACCTGGAAGGGAACCTCTGGCGGGTTCCTTGGTAACGTGGACAGGAGGGTACTTATATAGTTCAGCTTATGGCATTCCCATTACGAAGATGGCAAAGATCATCTTTCTACCCACAGTTCAGGATATTCCGCTTTCCCCCAGGACATGCTCTCTGCTTTTGGTCGGAATCGATTTCGACATTCAGAGCATCCTGCGGAAGCAAGGTTGTTCGACGAAAAGCTCTTCTACTACTTCAACCACAGCTCTTCGATTTTGGCCCAGGACATTTAGAACATCAGCATGGCTGGTCAAAAAAAATCGGTCTCCGAAATGGAGACCTCGATAAATGAAGCCAAGGACCAAAACCTGCGGTTCCAATTCCTGGCGGTTTAAGTTTTGGCCCACGGCCATAGGAAAAAGTCCGAGGCCGGCTTCGATGGCCCCGACTGAAAAATCACCATGCTTGGTCCAAGCTGTCCAAGTCACCCAAAATGGGAAAGAAGTGTGTGTGTGCGTATATATATATATATATTATATATATATAATGTGTATGTAGATATAGACATATATAATGTGTATGTATGTAGATATATATATATATATACAGCCAGTGAGTGCTTGAACCCAAATGGGAGAATCCCGCGGGGCAGTTCTCGTTGGATCCGCCGTTAGGATCGCATCTGGCCTCCTGGACCTCTCGAACACGTCGCGGCGGCTCCTGGCCGGCAGATCAGGTTCCATAGCGGGCGGTCCCAAGAATTTGTGCTTGCGTGTTGTTTGAGGGTACCGCTTTTTCTGTGGATTCAAAGGGAAAGCTAAAAGAACCACCCACCATTTTGAGGGTCCCTTAATTCAAAAACCAAGTGTGGGCCTGGAACCCGATTCATTGGGGGCTGGTCAAGCATCCCAAACAAAGGCCTCGTGCTTTTGGAAGGAAAAGTCCCGCGCCGAAACGCGGGCCGCTGGACTGGGCCCGCTTGGCCCGTCAATGGCTCCCGTTGGAACTTTGGCCCCAAGAGCGAGACGGGACGGCTGGTGGTTTTGGTTTTCGGTTGACCCCAAAAGAGAGAATACCGGACGGTTTTGGGAAGTAGAAGCTGTTTCAGAAGGACTGGTGTGGACGTTTTATGACGTTTTCTCCTGCCCTTTTTGGACCTTTCTAGGGAGGAGAGGTGTCGTCTTCCAAACCCCTCCCATCGCCCACTTCCAATGCTCGGAGTTAAGCGGGCCTGGTCATGGACCCCTCAATGTGGATGGACGAAATCCACTTCGCACCAGTTGGGATGGATGAAAGCCTATGAATTCCACCAATCCCCACTGGTGCCCGGCATGGATGTCCGTCCGTGAGTTTAACGACTTTTACCTTGGATTCCCTGCAACCTGACAAAGTATAGTTTTGGTTGGAGGCCCAACTCGGTATCACCGTGCCTAACAAACCACATGGAATCTCATGGATGTTCTGCGGGGAATTTCGACATCCTTTCGACCCGGCGACTTAGCTCACAGAATTCGGCGAGCATGTCCTGGGGTCAAATGGGGGGGGAGGACCATGAACGGCGGATTCCCCCGTCCCCTTTGACCCCGAAGAGCACCCAAAAATGCACATGGGCTACTCTCCAACATGGAACCCAAGGAGGTCAAAGGGACCGACTCTAAAACGTCGGTTTTGGGTTCCACGTCATTGTAGTGCGACTTCCCGTGGAATTTCCCGCTTGCGTCCCCGCCTCCGCTTCCCGGACTTGTCGGGCTGGCTCCTGTGAGAAACGGTGCCCTGAAACGCCCCAGGTAAACCAAAGAAGAACAAGGAAAGCATGTGTCAACATAGGACCCCTCCCCACCCCCAAGTGGCCGCTTACAGTAGTTGTTCCTTGCATTTCAAACTAAACCAAGGGAAAGGGGTACACTCAAAAAAACATGAAACTCCATATGTTTCAAACCTCATGGGGTAACGTTCCAGGGGGCCTCCTCACGGTTCCATGATTGGTTTTGGGGGCTCTCCCCAACGCTTCTACGCTGGAAAAACAAAATCGCCTGAGGTCAGAACCCCTGAAGTCAGCATAAATGTGTGCTGCCACGCTTGACCAAACCCGCATGAAGCCCGGTTCAGCCAATCCAAGTGAGAGGTCCTCCTTGTTGATGGTGCCCGTTTGAGGCGCTGTTTGAAAGGGACACGGCTATTCCCGTGGGTTTCACTCAGGCCGTGCATGGCATCCGCATCCCCGGCGTTCCTATTTGCGCATGGCCCTAACGCCGAGGAAAAATGTGGACGTGCTGCCGTGCAAAGGATCCGTTTTTCCGGGCCCCCTGCGCAAGAAATTCGCGCGGCCCAGTCATGGCCAGGGGAAAAAAGCGGCGGGCTCTGCTGGACAAAGAAGCGGCCAGGGAAGTAGTCCTCTTGCAACCGAAAGCAGTGCCAACATGGAGTTGTTTAAAGGGGAAGCCGAAAGGAACACCACATGTGAGTGTTCTTTGGGCGGGTTCTCCCATTGTAACACACACCCACATGGGCTCCTCTCAAGGGGAGCCCGCCCGTTGGGCAGAAAGCTTGGCTTTGGCGTCGCTTTTGAGTTCCCAACCTTGGGACATGAGTGTAAGTTAAAAATCGGTACCCATACTGGAACCCTGGTAAATGGAAACAACTACTATCAACTACTAAAACCTCCCGTCCTTTCCCACACTCACATGACACAGTCCCTGAACTTGATCCAAAGAGCCCAAGGGCATCCAACCACCTCGGACCCTCACTCCCGGACCCCTCCGGACCTTGCCTCTGGGCGGGCTGCCCTGCGGCCAGGGTTGCGAAATCCATTTCGCACGTGGAAACCATGGTTGAAGCCATGACGCCTTGTTTGGTATTTGCAGGGAATCGACTCATTCTAGGGTTTCTTCGATGGTGCAGGACTCCGTGCATCCACAGCATTTCAGGCAGCCATATTGAGGCAGTCTTGTCTCGGTCAAACCTTTCGTAGTCCTATGGGAAAAGATTATGTTGGCACCATACAAATAAACCCCTGTTATTCACATGGGAGTGTTCCTGGTGTAGTGGGGAATCAGAGCACTTTTGGAGGGAACCACCTCCCATATTAATAAACTGGGGTTGATCAATACGGGGGTCAACATATACTCACCTGCGTTTCACATTCACGTACAGTTCTACATGATTGCTCTTGTTCTCAGCGTGTTCTCCCAACGCCCAATTCCTGAAGGTCAGCCTCTGCTCTCCCGGAAAAACTGCTTTTCGGGCCATTGAGGTCGACCCTTTGATTGTTCCACCTGAGGGAACAAGCCACAGCAAATCTGTCACAGCGCCTGGCTCGCACGTGGATGTGTACAAGACTGCGTATGCCAGGTGCAACTAGCGCACTGGATTCCAAGTACATGTCCAAGCTAAACTCATCGCCTCTACTGGGCCTCTACCAAGAGAAGACTCACTTTTGGCCTTTTCAACAGTTGATGCTTACAACTACCGAAACAGAAAAAAATGGGCACGTTGGTGCATTTACGCAAAGTCGTCAATGTCGGTTTCATGAGAATGCCGCGCTGTTCAGAAATGTGCCTGAGAGGTACATTGACATGAAATTGCCTTATGATCACATCATCACAATATGTGTACTCACTTCGCCGGTTGTGTCACCCAGTCTTGGACCCAATCGGAGGTGCACAAAACATGATATGTTGAGGTTCTGCTTCATACTATACATGGACAAAATCCCGCACCTGGGATGCATGAAATCCTGAAATCCCAACCGGTGCCCATAAATTTCGTCCATCGGCGAGGGACTTCACGACTTTTGCCTTGGTCTTTATGCTCAGATGCCCAGTGGCCCTGGGAAAAAAAGGGCATCCTTTTTTTGTTGGTTGACTTTGAAGGGGAACCCTTGACCAAACAAAAAAAAGGAAGAAAAAAAACTCAAAAAAAAGGAAGGAACAAATGAAGACAAAAAAACGACGGCACCACTGGGGAACTGAGTATGGGAACCACGACCCAAGGCTCCCCGAAACGACCCACGGCGCGCCTCGGGGCGGCGTCCGGCTTCCGCGCGCGCCAGCTGCGGCGGGGCGCTGGCGCCTCAGCAAGCAGCCGAAAAAGCAGAGGGCAAGAAACAGGGGAGAAACAGAGGTTGTTAGAAAACCTCAAGGCAAGAAACAGGGGAGACATTGGGGTCGAGAACTTTTGTAGACAAACTTGAGCAGAGAAGCTTGAGTGGAGATCTTGCTCAGAGAGACTTGCAGAGCGAGCTGAGAGACTTGAAGACAAAATATTACAGCCACAGCCCGAAAACTCGCAACACTGAAGCCGCTCACGAACGTGATGCTTTCGGGCCACACGTTCCTCTAGGTATTCTTGGTGGGCGGGTGGTTGAAAACACGTTGCTTTTCAAAAAATTGGGAGGTGCCCTTAATACTCTAGGGCGCGTGCCCTGTGAGCCCCGTGTCATCTCACCGCCCAAAAAGCCAGCTGAAAACTATGCAGGGGTCGGCCCCAAGAGCAGACATGCCCAGAAAGGGTCCCCCAATGGACTTTGTGTACAGGCCCTCTTTGGCTTCCCACAAACACAGGATCAAACTTTCCTGCCGGGGGACCCCCGCCATGCGACATGGCAACATACCTCTGGGCGTCCCCACATCCTCTGCCTCGGCACCCTCCTGGCATTTTTTTCAAGTGGGTCCAACTGGCCATGGGTCAAAATCCAAATCGTACCCCCAGTGAGCATCCCAATCCCCACTAAAATAGACTAAAATGGGTGGCTAGCCACTGTTGCTGGTCACCGCAAAATATGAATGATCCCCGTGCCCCGCATGATTGGCCCCTGGAATGCCAAGAAAAAGAACACAGCACCAACGACTACCCCACCAGCGGTCAAACTTTATTCCAAAACCAGGATTGACCTCCCGGCCAAGAACGTGTCGTTTTGGAAAACCTCTGGGCGTTGCCTGAGACCAACAGTGTGGTCGACCAAATCGCGGCAAACCAAATCGCTGGGTCGACCCAAACAGTGATCCTCACGCATTAGTGGGGCCAGGGTCGCCAAGGTAAGTGCCAAACAGGGCTCTGGCGGTCACGATGTGTCCAGTTTGCTTCCCTAAAACTAGCGACCACTTTGGGATGCTTCGAAGGAAACCGAAGAATGCCAGTCATTCGTTCCTTTTTTTGAGCAGCCGGTCAGCTTAAAGGGAACCCAAAAACCAACCAGTCATCCGGGTCCCCTGAGACTAACCCACAAGTGTCAGGAACTGCGGAAGCTAAGCTCTTGGAGACGTTTCTTTTCGGGCGGGCACTTGAGCTCCCCTCCCATGCAGGGCCCCTGTATGGCGGGTGCGGCTGGTCTTGCGTTCACGCCCCTCTGATTTGTGGGAAAGCGAGCGCCTTGAGCAGGGTTCTGGCAAGCGCCCACTGGAAGGCCTTCCAAATGAGGGGCTCGATTCTTCATTCAAAGGGTAGAACGGTTCCCCGAAGCAGGGACCTGCTCCCTCAGGGGAGCACCCCACTCGACGTCCCTGTCCTGCGCCGAAGGCTTTCCGGCTGGCGCCTGAAGGGCCAGCGGTTGGGCGCGTCGAAGAGGGCCCTTTCATATGTATTCCCCATGGGGAATCCCAACAAGGCAGATACTGGCGGTAAGACCATAAACACCTCAGCCTCCATCTCCTTTTTATTGCTTCCTCTTTAAGATGGAAAAGAGGACCCAACAAACATTCCATCCTTGCGGCTCGAGGCTCGCTCGCCTCAGGTCCTTCCCGCAGCTCGCGCTGCAGGATCCGGACCCTCGAGGGCTCTGATCCTGACGCGAAGGTTGGGACCCGGGAAGCGTTGGGCAAGGCTTGCAAGAGGCAATCCTGACTCCTTCTCAACCCTGAGGGTGAAACCTGCCTGGGCCCAAAGCGTGCTGATTTCTGGAGGTCGAATACTTTGCCAACCCAGTAATACAGGATAGCAGGAACCTTCATGGCGTCACACGCCTCTGGTTAGTGTCGCAAAAAGAAGAAGAAGAAGAAGAAGCAGAAGAAGAAGAAGAAGCAGAAGAAGAAGAAGAAGAAGAAGAAGAAGCTCGCTCCCTTTGAGTCCAACCAGGAAGGGCACCCGTTTGCGTTGTCCTTGTTTAGTGTTCAACCAACTTGAAGAGAAGTTGACAAGGGTCACCACCGACCAACAAACACCATGCCAAAGGTTGCTGTGACCCATTCATTCAGCCTTGGTATGCACATGTTCTAGGGCCAAGCACTGGGGGTACATTTCGTTCTGTAGGGGGGTGTCACAAAACGGCCCCCAAAAACCCGTGTGAAGAATCGAAAAAGGCGGGCGCACCCATGGACCATCTCGGCGAGTCCAAACCTGGAGGGACCTAAAAGTGGGGAGCTCAAAATGGGCACGGCTCAAAAAGGCGGATCAAGAAAACTGCAGATTAGATGTTGGGGGGGCCGGAGTCTTAAAAGGGGAACGGTGTCCCTTTGATTTCCCTTCAACACCCCAAAAAGGGTACCCTCAAAACACCCACATGCCCTCGTATATCTCTTGAGCCGCCGTGTTGGGAAGAATGGGACCCTCAAACCAAGGGGGCTCCATGTGGCTGCGGAGCACAAATGGTGACTCCCACAACGGGTTGCCCCGCAAAAACCTGGAAAAAACACTAAAAAACCTGCGGTTGCCTGGTGGATTTTCTATATATATATATATATATTAAAAAAAAAAAAAAAAAAAAAAAAACGCTTCCTGGTGGCTTTTTCCACATGGACCCACCTGTCCATCTGCGCGCAGCTTCGATCCGATCCCTCGGGCGGAGGCGCCTTGAACCGATCCTGGGCCCTCGAGCGCGAGCCAGGAAGCCGGGCCCCTCAGCGACTCGGGAAGCGAAGGGAACCGCAAGGGTTGCACCGGCAAAAGGTGGGGGTTGGCCTGGCTGGTTCGGTGCTTGGGCTTGGTTTGTTTGGGCTGGTTGGTGGATTGGTTGGTCCTTTGTTCACTGCTTGATCTGGTTGGCTGGTTGGCTGGTTGGCTGGTTGGCTGGTCTGGTTGGCTGGTTGGCTGGTTGATTGACCGGCTGGCCGGTTGGTTGATTGGTCGCTTGGGAAACCTACGGTAGACGTGGCCAACGGTCGCTGCCGTCCTGGAAAACATGTGGACGCAACGGAGCGAACCTGCTGCTCCCCCTGAAACTGAAGCATCCCGAAATGGGACACCCGCACCCAGCAAGCAAGCAGAGAGGTACTGGGCTTCCACTCGTACAGGGACTGTCAGTAGCCAACTGTGTCAACTGACATTACCAAAATTTGTGAGTGAACCCCATTTCTCATGGGTGAGTTGGTCCACCAAATATACTTGTCCGCACTAAAATAAGCGAGGAGGTATATCGGCCGTGGCTCAGTTGTTCACTTACGCCGCATGAAGCATGTGGTGAAAATTGCCTGAAGAGGTTTATGTGCAAGCCCCCTAAACCTCGAAATCCACTCCAACCCCCAGACCAGGAATTACAGGATTTTACTTGTTCTACACTTTGCTTCTGAAGCTCCTTCTAAAGCTCCTTATATGCCCCTTACGAGGCTCCTTAGCAAAGGGTAGAAAAAGTGAAACCCTCCACACCATGTCAAACATGTCCATGTCTTGGTTGCTCTTGACCCCCTGCAGAAAGCGAACAACTTTTTGGGGGTTTAGTGGGTTTGACCCCTCCTCATGTCAACCAAAAAGTGATAAAAGTCTAAAGATGCAACCCTACAGCAGTCAAGTCTTTGGGCGGTTTTTGGCTCAGGTTCTCTCTGAGGTTATGGTCCTTGTTGCCTCCGATTGCTGGGGGAGACAATCCGATAGCAGTCAAGAAATGTACCACTCATTCCCTCACCCCGCGACAGGCCCGAAGCTCTCGGGCCCACAGCCAGCCGACTCGACTTGGTGCCCCGGCGACTTCTCGGACTCACCGCCCTTCCGGGCCTGCGCGGAAGGGCGGCGTCCGGGGTCAAACCCAATGCTTGCGGTTCCACGTCTCCGAGGTCCTCCAGATTTGAGAGGTTAGAATAAGGGTACCCGATGTTTTCCCCGTTTTTGTCGTTTTTTTAGTAGGGGAACCCTCCCCAAAACAAGGGGTGAGAAGGGCACTGGGAGACCTAGTCTCTGAAAGGCACGTCTCTCTGAAAGGCACTAAGAGGTTCATGGGCATAGGTGGCCATTTGGAAAAGTAGATGGCCCTGGTAAACGGAATAAACCCCATCTAAGCCAGTGCCATCTACTTTTAACCAAACTCACCTAAAACGGACACCTAAGAAACATCGGGTTTTTGGCTGCACAGAAGGCTGGGGATTGCAAATGTCCAAGAGTGGGCATGCTCAGCGTTTGGCATGCAGGTGTGTATTTGATGCATAGGTGTCTCAAGTGATGCGGAGAACTGTTCGGGAAACAGCCCTCATTGATCTGCCAGGTTCTACTTAAATCCAAGGTCAGCAATGACTGGTGCGAGGAATCAAGCAAGTCTCCCTCATTGATAAGGGGGTCAACATCACCGAGGCCAACAAACAACAGTCCAACAAGAATGGAAGCCTAACAATAACAAGAAACAAACCAACTTGCGGGTGCACAGTAGGGAATGACCCAGAGTGTTGGAAATGAATCTGGGGATTCCCTAAAAGGAAACCAGCAGTTGGATTGTTTATACGGGTTATCGAACCATCGTTTTTGAGTTTGCTTATGTCGAGTGGCTCAATCCGACGGATTTTCATGCTGAGAGAACAGGCCAGAACGCTGAAATGTGTTTTTTTCTTTTGATTTTTGATTTGCTTGGTGGGGGGGGGCACTGGGGCTGTTGCTGTAACTTTCATTTCCTGCCTATCGAACCACCGTCCAGACCAATTGCGCGCCTCCTGTGGCCTCGCCGTCGCTTGCGCCGCTGGCGCCGCTGGCGCCGGACGCGGCGGCGGGGGCGGCGGCGCCGCGCGCAGGAGGATCTTCGGGCCCATTGCCTGAGGTCTGGGCTGCCCAAGGAGGGGTACGCCCTTCTTCTTGGGAATTTGCTGGCTGCTGGGGGGGGGGGGCCGCCGACATATTGGCAAGGGTCGAAACGAAGAGCAATCCCATCCCAAGGTGCTCCTTGTGAATTATGACCAAGGAAATAACCTTGAATAGTGGCTGAGATCGGGCGTGATTCAGGATATAGGTTCTTTGTCTCCAAACGGGGAAGCTCCAAAAATAGAGGCGGGTCTTTTTGGTTTCCCTTGTGCAAAACCCCAAGTGCACCAATTCAAAGCCACACCCATATCCTGAAGCAACTTCAACCATCCAACCATGTGACAGGATGATGTCCCGTTTTAGAGGAGCTCCGGACCGCTTCTTCGGGCGGCAAATCCGGGGTCAAACTTGAGAGGGCGGTGAATCTTCCGCCCAAAACGTCCAAAGCCGACGTTTCGATCCGTTGCCAAAAGGGTTGATCACCTGGGGAAAAAAATGGAAACAAGGGATGCCCTCCGTGGACTTAAACAGGCAAAGGGTTCTGACTCGTGAGGGTCCTCTGAGTTCGTTCCTTCAAAGATCCAGAAAAATCCCTCCTACCTTAGGGTAGGGGGTCCCCCGATTCCATTTCTCTAGTCTTCCCCATGAAAGGGAAAATGGAACTATGAATGGAATCACCCTCCCCCAAGGTCCATTTTTAAGGGGGTGGGGATCCAGAAAAGCTTCCACAAAGACGCCCTGAGCCGGCCTGCGTCATCCTCATTTCTGGGGCGCCTGGACTCGCCGAAATAGCGCCAACCTCTTCCCCCAAAACCCCGCCACGCAAAGACGCTCAGCGCAAAACAACTTGCGTGCTTGGGAGAAATGCTTGAACGAGACTTCCAACCAAGGAAGTCATCTGGCCATGGGCATTGAGGGAACTAAGCAGCAAGGGACAATAAACGCATATCAAGATCCCGATTGAATCCTCAAAATCATTACGCGTTGTTGCGAATACAAAGGCTACGATGTCTAGGGACTTCAAAAGCAGCTGGGTGACATCTGATAACATCAAACCAGGCCTTCCTATGAAAGGAATCGTCATAGGCAAATCCCTTCGTGAAGTTTGTCCTGACTATAACGCAAAAAAAAGGGTCATGAACCCTTTCAGGCAGGCAAATTGGGAACGACACTTGAGAAAGAACAAGCAGAATGTGGGTGTCCCCTAAAATTGCAATAATCCTTACCCAAGTTTTCTGGAAAGAAGGATCCCTGGAAAGAATGGAAATGGAAGGTGCCCCTAGAGCATTTGCTGGCGTGCCGCTTTTTGCAGAATTTTGGACTGGAGATTCGGAGATTCTTGGACACTGACCCAATCACTTCAAGCCCACTCTCTCAACCGAAAGCTTTGCGCTTAGATCCCGTGCTGAGGAAACACCGCAAACAAAATGGGCGTGTTCAGATGGGGCCACTTATTTTGTGGTTCCCCACTAAAAAGGGGTCAACCACGGGGAGAGTCAGTCTTCCCCGATTTTGAGTGACCCAACCGCTCCCGGCGCCTGACATCTCCTGGCAAAAAAAAAGAACATTCGGCCACGTTAGGACCGACACATGCGGCGCAGCGCACACTTTCTGCCTGGAGGGGGGTCAAAGGGAAGCCAAAGGACAAAACCGCAATTGTCAGGGTTCCAATTCTGCTGCCCTCAAAACATCACCGAACCGAAACTACATAAAATTGGCCAAAGGTGATGCTTGACACCTGCAGTATGCGCTGCCTTCCATTGGCCCAAATATCAAAATCAAAGGCCTTCGCAGCAAACCCAATTTGGAACATGGCACGTGTCAGCGGCGTCTCTCCATCAACCCGATGCCTTTTGCCTGGCTTGAAACGCAAGCAAGCCCGGCGAGTCGAGTGTCACAAGGTTCAGTCCATTTCAAGTGATCGAGTGGTTTCAGAGGGCACAGCACACACTTATGGGGAACCAAGCCCAGTAGTTGCACTGCAGGCGTCCCTGGTGATATCCTCAGGTCAGATTGAGCTCAGGCGTGGTTGATCTAATTACATGACTAAGAGTTGGCTCCAGGGTGTACTGGAGCTCGGAGACACACACACACACAAACACAAACACACACGCACACATGCTACCAAACCCAAAGTCACCCATCCAATTGGTGGCTTGGAGCCCGCTGATTTCGTGGCAGTTTCACATTTACCTTCCAAGAACCAAGGTTCTTGTAGCCGCAAACCGCGGGTTATCTGCGAAAGAAAGGCTAGGGTAAACACCAAATGGAGGCAGTGGTAGGTCTCGCTTGCCAGCGAACGTTGCGGAACCCCTCAGCCCTTGGCCTCGTCTGAGGGCCTGAGAGAGGTGCGCTCTTACGGGCGTCTTTTTGTTGAGGGTAGTAGGGCCTGAAATCTTAGAGTGGGATTGCGGATTCAAGCCAAAAGTGGTGAAGTAAAAGCAAGATGCCCGTCAGAGCCTCCAAATGCCCTTTTGGAAGGCAACCGCCATCTCTTTGCTTGGCGAAGTCAATTGAAGCTGCGAAAAGGAAACGTATCCACATGGGGCCCTTCTTGCAGTGAACATGACATGAAAACCCGCCACTCTTTGGGCCTCGAGGATGCGACGAGCCAAAGTTCAGGGAAACTTGGGGCCGCGGGACCTGACCTTTTCTGCGAATTTGAGGCCCGACCCCCCGAATCTCATCCTCCCAAAACAGGGGACCAAACATCTTGTCTGCTCGCGCGTAGTCAAGATCCCCGCCCTCCGTTCATTGAAAGATCCCGTTCCCTTATGGAGTGGTCACCTTCGTTTTCACTGAAAGGGCCCCTATTCTTTGGAACGCAGCAACGTTCCCTGAAGCCGGCAGTCCCACAAGGCTGTCCACATGGGTCTCCACTTCGTTCGCATTCAACCGGCAGTCCCACAAGGCTGTCCACATGGGTCTCCACTTCGTTCGCATTCAACCGGCAGTCCCACAAGGCTGTCCACATGGGTCTCCACTTCGTTCGCATTCAACCGGCAGTCCCACAAGGCTGTCCACATGGGTCTCCACTTCGTTCGCATTCAACCGGCAGTCCCACAAGGCTGCCCACATGGGTCTCCACTTCGTTCGCATTCAACCCTAGCCGCGGGGTGGAATGTTGGTCCCTTGCAAAACCAAAGGAGACCAAGGGAAAACAAAACAAAGCACAAAGGGCCAAGGAAAATTAAATGACAACAATTTGGAATTAATTTGGAAGGGTAAAGATAAACAAAAGGAATCCCTTGACCAACATTCCATCCTTGTGTTTTGAGCATCTAGAGGCTTGCAGCGAGTCGTCGCCATGCAGCTTTTCCGGGATCCGCGCCACCCATGCGTCTTGTTTTGTTTCAGTGCAACATGTGAAAAGGATGAACAAGCAATTCTTGGGTGCGTTTCAGGCGTTGCTTTCAGGCAGAAGGCTCTTCCGGGGACGCCCCTTAGGCCCGGGCGACTTCCGAAGCATCCTCGGGCTTGAAGCAAAATGAACGGCGAGCTCAACAAAAAATCGGTCCGGTGTCCAACCCAAAGGTTGGGTCCACCAGTTTGAGAAACCGTAGCCAGTGCCAAACAGACCTTTTCCAAAAGGACATGGATTTGGTGGAAATGTTCTTCGTTTGTACAGTCCGCCCCCCCCCGCATTGTCGAGCATCACATGAATGTTCTAGAGTTGGTTCTCTATTTTGGGGCCTTCCTGCTTCTTTGATGGTTTCTGAAAAGAAGGATACCTGGTAGGAATGGGGAAGTTACCACTAGAAATGTGTGTGTGTGTGTGCTTTTTTGAGGGCATGTGGTGGCACCCTTTTTGCCTGTTTGAAAGGAAAGCCAAAAATAAACAACCCATTCTGGGGTGAGTTCCTTTGGTTTCTTTCCTTGCAGCTTTCCTTGGCTTCCTTTGATTCCAATCTCTTGAACAATTTGCTCTGGACTTCCAAAGCAATTCGTCTACCGGAAAGGGACGGCGCTGCATGTCAACTGACACCCCAAAATATTTGGCTTCCCTTCCAAAGGACTCTGCCACGTCCACCCGTGGGGTGCTTTCTTTCAGCCCGGCTAAGTCTGGAAGTGCAGTCGAAGCGCACTCGCCGCACCGGCTGTGAGGGCTCCTGGCAGCAAACCAGTTTCGAACATTACCCTCCCAAACACAAGACTCAAACAGCAAAACCTATACTCGGTTGCTGTATGCTCCCCTGCTAAAAGTTTAACTTTTAGTGGTTTAATGGAAAACCCCTTAGTTGCAAAAAGTTAAAGTCCGAACATCCAAGCAAAATGCAACAAAGTATGTGTATATTTCGAGAAAGAACGTCGCCGAAAGGAAGCTCATTCGCTTCCCATACACCTGGCGCTTGAAACTCCAAAGGGGTGCTCCTGCCGTGGAAACGCTTCGGGACGTCGAAACCCAAAGGCTTGCAGTCCGGGTCTCGTGGCTTAGCCCGGACGGAAGTTGCCCGCCTTTCGTCTGCGCTCCTTTGCTTCCTGGCGAACAGGGAAGAGGATAGGCTCGGATAGGCGGCTCGCGGAGCCGCATTTCTACGAATCTTCTCTCGTCTTGCGCCTCGGTGCCCCCCAAAAATTTTGGGGAGTGCTCAAGGGAAACCAAAGAAGATTGCCACCCTTTGAAGGGGGTTCCACCTGTTTGGAGGACACGTTTTAAGATAGGAAGCCTCATTTTGCCCCGGAGAAACCCCGCAGTGGGCCTTGATGGAGTGTCAGCTTGTACAAAAACAATCCAAGGCAGAGACCAATTGGTAAGTCCAGAACAAGAACAACAACGGCACACACCAAGCGGGGAAAAAATGGAGAAAAAAAAAGAAGAAAAAAAAAGAACCAGCATAGAATCATTGAGGAAGAGAGGAAGAGGGGAAGACTAGGATGACAAAAAAGAAAGACGCGTAAAGGAGAAGAAAGGCATCTGTGCAGACCGAGAACTAGTGGGCTGCAGCCGCCTAGAAATCCGAAATGCCATCTGCTCTTTGAGTTCTCCCCACTGACAGTCACCGGAACATCAAACTCCAGGGTTGCGAAAGGGGTGCCACAAAAGGGAAGCTGAAATCCCAGCATTCATTGGACAACGCCCATGAACTCCCATTAAACATACGCGGGGCCTTTTTGAGCAAGTCCAAAGTGGCGGAATGGGAGCAACTATTCACCTCAAAGTCTCAAAAGCACTGAATCACACGGAGCAAAACTTATCAAGGCTTCCTCCCCGTTCCCGTTCTCTCCCAAGGTGCGCTTTGAGTACTGCGTCTTCCGGGATTTTTAAGTCCACACCAAACTTGATGACACCTGTTGGGTGATCCCAAACAGTTTGTAACAAACCCTACAACACATGGGCTCCCTTCGGATGTGCAAGCGATGGGAACCCGTTTCAAAACCGACCCGCTGAGCGAGCCCCATGCATCTTGCCGTGCCTCCCGTTGCTTTTGCAGCGGCTGAGCAGCAGGCGCTCCCTGGCACGGTGTGCCGCAATGGGACAATGATGTTTGTAATTATTTAGGCTTTGTATGGGTGTGAGTCAAAATTAAACCGCAAGGGGACCGCAGGTTTTAGTCCATGTTTCCACTTACCGGGGTTCCATTTTGGGCACCTATTTTTGGTTCTTGGCCGTGTTTGTATCACCATGAAACCTTCTGTTCCCATAAATCGGGTTCACAAGTGGCATCACCTTGGTGTTCTTGCAGTGCGAGTGTGCAACGTGCAAAAACTGACTACAGCATGGTGGCAGCGTAGCTGCAACAAAATCGCACCCTGCCTCTCGTGGCTCTTGCCTGACCTTCTCCGCTTCCTGCTGCTCCTGCATCGGACTTTGCTTGAAGCTTGGCGCTTGAGATATTGGCACACGCACAGTTGCTAGCTTGTTAAACATATTCCATACTTTGTTGCACGTCTCAAGAGCAGCATATCCACACAGCCTCCTTCAAAATCTCTGCTTCGGGCAGGATCTGCTCGCTTTTGACAGCAGCCGGTTCCTGGCGTTGTGCTTGGGGGGTGTCAGGCAACTGCACGGCAGCAACCGCCCGGCAGCAACAGACCTGTTCCGTTCCCCGCGTGATGCTGACAAGGCAAAGAGGGCTTGTGTGGTGCCTCGTCAAGCTGCTTGCCCTTCTCCTCCTTCTCTTGATGTGGCTCCTGCGTGGACAGTTTGAGACAAAATGCGGGCACAAGTGCTTCCATTGTCGCTTTCGACCAAAACTTGTCCTGCACTTCCGGAACATCTTCCGGGACATCTTCCACTCGAACAGCAGGTGCTTCCTGGCAGTCATGTCGCTGCCCAGCTTGCCGTGTGGGCATGCTCATTGCATGCGCATTGCAAGACTTGCTGCAGCATCAGCTGCCAAAGAACTTGCCCTGTGCCTCTCGTGGCTCTTGCCTGACCTTCTCCGCCTCCTGCTGCTCCTGCATCAGGCATTGCTTCAAGCAAAATGTAGTTGCTGCTTGAGACCGCTAATTACATGTGTTACAGTCACAAGCACGACATACCCATAGTGCCTCCTTCAGCATCTCTGCTGCGGGCAGTGTCTGCTCGCTTTTGGCAGCAGCCGGTTCCTGGCGTTATGCTTTCAACGTGACTGTCAACTGGGGTGACAGACCTGTTCAGATTCTGCTGAAGATAGTGTTGATTACAAGGCATGAGGGGCATGCTTTGGTGCCTCGTCAAGCTCTTGCTCGTCTTCCTCCTCCTCTTCCTCCTCTTGATGTGGTTCCTGCGTAGCCGAACCGCCGATAGCCCCAGCAGCTGCTCAGAAGTGCAGCGCAAGTCGTTCTAAATTGCGTCCAACACTCTCAGACCCCTATACTTGCTGCCCTAGACAACTGCTCCGTTCAGAATTCGATGCCTCGACAGACTCCACTTCTGGAACATCTTCCGGAACATCCTCCACTCGAACAGCAGGTGCTTCCTGGCAGTCATGTCGCTTCCCAGCTTGCCGTGTGGGCATGCTCATTGCATGCGCATTGCAAGACTTGCTGCAGCATCAGCTGCCGAAGAACTTGCCCTGTGCCTCTCGTGGCTCTTGCCTGACCTTCTCCGCCTCCTGCTGCTCCTGCAGGCGTTGCTTCAAGCAACATGTAGTTGCTGCACGACATACCCACAGTGCCTCCTTCAGCATCTCTGCTTCAGGCAGTATCTGCTCGCTTTTGGCAGCAGCCGGTTCCTCGCGTTGTGCTTTCAACGTGACTGCCAGCTGAAATGCTGTCAGCTCAGCAACAACAGACCTGTTCAGATTCTGCCGACAACGTATTGTTTCAAAGGCAAGAGGGGCATGCGTTCGTGCCTCGACAAGCTCTTGTTTGTCTTCCTCCTCTTCTTCTTCCTCCTCCTCCTCGTCCTCCTCTTGATGTGGTTCCTTCATATCCGAACCACCAACAGCAACCAGCAACTGCTCAGAAGTGCAGCGCAAGTCGTTCCAAATTGTGTCCAACACTCTCAGACCCCTATACTTGCTGCCCTAGACAACTGCTCCGTTCAGAATTCGATGCCTCGACAGACTCCACTTCTGGAACATCTTCCGGGACATCTTCCACTCGAACAGCAGGTGCTTCCTGGCAGTCATGTCGCTTCCCAGCTTGCCGTGTGGGCATGCTCATTGCATGCGCATTGCAAGACTTGCTGCAGCATCAGCTGCCGAAGAACTTGCCCTGTGCCTCCCGTGGCTCTTGCCTGACCTTCTCCGCCTCCTGCTGCTCCTGCAGGCGTTGCTTCAAGCAAAATGTAGTTGCTGCACGACATACCCACAGTGCCTCCTTCAGCATCTCTGCTTCAGGCAGTATCTGCTCGCTTTTGGCAGCAGCCGGTTCCTGACGTTGTGCTACGGACGTGTACGTCAACTGGCATTCTATCAACCTGGGAATCAGGGGGGGTTTCTCTGGAATAGAATCCCAACTAAAAACGGGACCTGGTGTACATTTGCTTTCCTGGTTCCTTCTCTTCCTGGCCATGTTGATGGTTTTGTGGCTTTTTACTTGCTCCAAATGTTTGCTGGCAGCTTCCGTTTCGCAGAACGATTGCTGGCAGTGCCTGCGCAGATCTTTGGCGCACCGTGGACTTATGCTGATGATTTTTCAAAAATTTGCAGGACGATGGTAGGCAGCTCTCTTGGAGATCTTGTGCTGCTTGGTTTCCATGTCTTCCTGGCATTTTTGAAGGTTTTCGGACTTTTCTTTGCTTGGATCACATACCTCACGCTGAACTTCTATCAGGAACCTTCATCATAGAGCTAGTTGGACAGCGAGCTGCTTGCAGCGTGTCGGCAACCAGGAAGCTTAGATCGTAAATCGACCGTTTGGACACAATCATAGCGGGATTTGCGTCCATTGCCTCCAGGTGTTTCCAGGGGTGCCTTCCCCATTCTTTCCGGGGATCCTTCTTTTCAGGAAACCATCAGAACGTTTGAAAAGAACGATGGTTGCAAAGAATGGGGAATCAACCCCTAGAGTTCTTGTTTCCATGCAACAACAAACGCGCTTTGGTGTCCAAATGGCCAGCTCTCCAACTCTCAGTCTTGCTCCAAAGACCCCTCAAAATTTGGTCCGGGATACCAAACAAAATCAAACCCGGGGAAAGGGCAAGGGAGTTGGAAACCCAACCTGGCCCCATTGTTGCACAATTATCAACTTCAAAGTGGTAGGTTGAAGGGCAACAACCCCATTTTCACACTTTGACCATCTCCCAAAACAGCCAACTACCGGGCCAGATTTGGCCCGGGTCAATGGAAATCAGACGAACCCCTTGACCTGCTGGTCCTTTGGTCAGTCCAAAAGGCGACCCTTGTGTTCTACCCTTGTGTTCTGCCTTTCCTCTATCCCACTCCCCAACCTCTTTCATCCGCTGGGGCCACTCTTATCATCTCTTTATCATATTGGTTGTCCTATATTTTTATTATTAATATTATTTTTATGTATATGTGTATTTTCATGGAGTTTTATTAGTTATTATTTGCCTTTCGTATCTTAGAGAATTTCCGGGAGACAGCATTCTATCACTTCTCCTTCCCACGCCGCAGCGGCTGGAAGGACAGAGAGTTGGGAGATGGGATCCCTTCGTCATCTCCCTCTCTTTACCATTGACACCTTTCCTTGTCCTTTCGTACACCAATCTCAGAGATGAACCGCTATTACAGAAAGGCTCATCACATCATATCTCATTTCCTTTTCCTACTGCCCATGCCCCCAGTGAACATCCCAAGCCCCACTAAAATAGACTAAAATGGGTGGTGCACCTACCCCAAAATGGTACCATTGGTTTTGACCCACAGCCATAGGGTAGCTTGAGGCTGCTTTTCTTTGACCAATACGCTGAATGAAAGTTCTCAAAGGCCGGACAACATCTCGCGCCCAAAGCTCTTTGGCCCCCCGGCTGGCTGCGGGAGCGTCAGTCCCGGAGGCTCTGCCTGGCTGGACGGACCGGACCCCAGGCACGGGGTCCGAAGGCGGGCCAAATGACGCCCAGTGCCCGTTCTTCGCTTTGGGAAGACCTTTGAAATCAACTACTACTCTGGGCTGTGCTCAGATCCCTCGCTAGAAGTGACTGAAGGAACCGGCTGGGAACCACCAAGTACTCAAAGGGTGGTTTCATGAAGGACGCCCACAATGCGTATGTGTGTGTGTGCCCTTTTATTGGAGTAGGGGATTTCACAGACCTTCCCTAGGCAAAGAACAACGGGCACCACTGGGTGTCTGGGTGTCTATTGCGCCACTTTCTCCCGTGTCTCAGTCCAGGCAAGCCTACTAAAGGTGGTGCTAAAACGGCAACCTGTTCACGGAAGCTCATCCTGGTATGATCAAAGGGTTGTTGTATCACACCCTGGGAATACACCCACTGGGTATTGACCCCCATTTAGGCACATGTCCGGATAAAACCGTGTTATTTTGAACCAAACTTGGTCATTTCCCAAGGGTGTAATCCCAGGGTGTAATACAAAAACCCTCGGATAAGACCGAATCTCCCCTTTGATCTGGCCAAGTTGCGGAAATTCGATAAGGGAATCCGCCAGTGAAGGACCTTCATGAGCGCAATCATTTGTGTTGCCCCCCAGATCGTGGAGCTACCTGCAAGGATTTGGATCCTGTAGATCAGAGGGCAAAAGTGAGCCTTGTTCCCGCAGACATGGGGCATGTCGTGAGTCTCTTGTTGTTGTGGGGCAATTCAGTCAGTCGCCCATGTCCTTAGACACCGAATGTTCACCTTCACCCAGCTCTGGGATTTGTGGCTTGTGCAAAACGGTGGGGGTTGTGCCCAAATATCAAACTTGGACTCCCTACGACTCGTCTATGACTGCACAACGGCATTCAGACCCCCGGTAGGAGTTGTACGAAGCGAACATATTTCAAAGTGACAACGATTCTTGGGAAGCAATCAAACGCGAGTCCAACTTTCATTTGGATCACTCCTGTCTTGCGGCGATGTTGGGACCCGTAGGTCGCTTTTTCGGGGTGATCATTTCCGTCGACCGATACCATTTCCCCAAGGGACATAAAAAGGTTCAGTGTGGAGTTGGGAAAGATTTCTAATTCGAAGCGAACCAAAAAACTTCTCTAAGTGTGGAATCGCAGCCACAACGGTACCATTCCTACACTTAGATTTGCTCCTCTCTCAGAAACACTTCCAGGCAAACTGTGCATATATGTATATATACACACGGTTACAAAAGATTGTCACTTAGGGGCCAACAAGCACCCCCACAACAACTTTGTTAGAGGGTACCTTGGTCATTCACCAATATTACTCGCTTTCGACTCTGAAAGGAAAAGCAAAACGAAACCAACCACCTGAGAGTCCCTAATTTTGAGACACACTGGCTTGTCTGAAAATAGGGGAACCCGCCCGCAAAAAGATGACAACAAAAATAAAAAGAACTACCCCCTCCCCACCCCACCCCACCCCCCTGACTCTCGAATGCGCCTCGAGGTCTGGCGGCTCCTAGCGTTCATAGCCGATTCGATCGACGTAGAGAACAGGGCGGTCTTTTTGCCACCTTTGGTGAGAAAATGGGCGACCCCCTCAAAAGGAATCCTTCACTGCCAGGGGTCGATCATTTTTCCACCACAGGTGGCAAAAGGACCCCCCTGATAGAGAACTCTTCTGCTTTTGGGTAACTTGCTGGTGCTCAGGGAATGAGGGGATGAACCGGGGGATTCCCTTGAAGGAAACTATAGGGGATCGATCGGTGAACCCAGCTGCAAGTGACCCGAAAGCTTCCAAACGGGACATGTGGAGAAAAGTGCCATTCGTGGGAAAGCCACCAAAATTTCCAAGGGGAGATCATGAACGACCGGGAATTGGGAGAGGAAAGTTGGATCCAAGAAGGGCGTGGACCTGTTGGTTCCATTCCCCAGGCCCACGAAGCCGAGCCCACATGGAAGGAGAGGTTCCTGGAGTCCAACCTGAAACCCCTGCCGAAAATGTGACAAATGGCCACGCTCTGATACCGCAGTGGTGCTTAAGATGGGCGAAATACAGGAACCCTCGAGGTTCGTGGCTATACGCGCCCAAACAAGTGCAATGGGGGGTTATGGGGTACTTGAAGCCGAATTTAGTCATGATCAGACGAGCGAAATGCTAGTAATGATTTGGACACAGCAAGCACTGGAAGCGTCAATTGAGATACATGCCATTGAACTCTTCCAGGTTCTATTGAGAATTGGGCATTTCATGGTCTAGGTGTTAAACGAATTATCTCATCTTACCTTGGGGAGAAAAAAGAGAAGGACAAAAAAAAGGAGAGAGAAAAAACAAAACAACAAAAACAAAAAGGTCCTCCGCATTTCTTTTCTTACTGACCTTCCGCGCCTGGAAGGCGCCGGCACTCTTTGGCGCCTGGCCCGCTGTGCGGTTTTGGGGAGAACCGGGCTGCGCGGCTCTGGTTCCCCCGAAAGCGCGACACGCATAGGTGTCCTTTTAGGGGAAATAGATGGGTTTCCCTGGTGGATGACTAAACCGCCAGGTAAACCGGAATCGCCATCGATTTTTCGGTAGCAAAACAACCAAAAAGGACGCCTATGGCGACAGAGGGGTACCTTCCATGTCCATTCTTTCCAGGATCCTTCTTTTCAGGAAACCATCAAAAACCCAAAAGAAAAACAGCCGTTCATTTTTTGAAAAGAACGATGCTTGAAAGGAATGGTTGGAATCAAGCCCTAGGAAAAAATGCCAAATGAGCGCGAAACAAAAAGAAGGAGGAAGGCGCAACTTACAAGTGGCCCCCCCCCCAAAAAAAAAAAAAAAAAACGGGGGACGCACTCGAATCCCCAGCCTCTCTCGCAACCGGGCCTCGGGCACGGCGTGAGCGCCGGCATTCCGTGGCTCAAAAAACCGAAGAAGAAAAAAAATTGGTGGAACCCTGGGAAGTGGAAACATGGACCAAGACCGGCAAGGTTTGCCCCTCCGATCGTTGAATTTTGAGCCACACCCATGCTTTTGTTCAGGGCAATTACCCTTTGTGTGGATTTGCAAGGGCCCTGCTTAAAGAGATACGCATATGTATATCCCGAAAAGAATGGCATCGTTTCGAAGTCGGCAGCGGCAAGCCTTCATTTGGTTGAAAATCAAGGCTACGAGACAAAACGTGCAAAAAGGCGCGTGAGCAGATTTTATGTCCGTCTCAAAATGCGAAACCTCGCAAAGCCTTCGGAGAAAAACACCCCCCCACCCAAAAAAAGAGGCTACCCTCCAAACAAGACGCACCCCCGACAGACGCCCGCCGCTTGGGGATCGTGCCATGTTTGCATCATCCCTTCGTCCAAGACTTTGAATCGAAGCCCTTGCCTGTCACCTCCCAGAAATGCAAGCGCGACCTTAAAACATTCAGAGGCGCAAACAGAAACATCGACCTCGGGAAGGGGGAAAAACAATTGGAACAGAAAAAAGAAGAAGAAAAAACAAACCTAACAAGACCATCTCAAACTCCTTGCCTCTCCCCCTAGCCCGTCCGTGGCCCCCGGGCTTATAGCACTCCTCTGAGGAGGAGCCGACCTGCGTGCGCGCCACACGCGCGCGGCTTGCAGGGATCCCAACGAAGCTCCAGGCTTCCCCAAAATCGAAAAAATGCCCCAAAGATCACAACTCTTGACGAGACCAAAAAAAAACGCAGTTCGGCCATGAAAAGGTGATACCGGAAACCACCCAGCGAATGCAACGACCCAAAGGCTCGACTTGCGCTTGCGATTCTGTCCCAGGACAACTAATGACATCTGCCCAATCAAACATGAAACTCCCAAAACGCGATGCTGCCCAGCATCCAACATTTTGGAAAAATAGTTGGACCCTGCGTTTGTCTTATTGCTATCACAGCTGAAACTTACAGCATAGACTTCCAAAACCTGAAAACAGGGCCCCCAGACCTTCGCTTCTTGTCAGGCGAAAGCATTACGCTCATTGCGCATGCGCTGGCCGGACCAGTCGGAGTAAAGCTCAGGATGCCGGTGAATCGTCTGGCTCAAGTGGTGCCCATCAGGCTGAAAAACCAGATGCCAGAGGCGCACAGACGAGAGCGACCATCGTCAGGCGCACTGCGTAGTTCCATGCCTGCTATGAGCAATGCAACCTCACCATCAGGTGCAATGGCAGCAAGAGACTCAACGGAACCAGGCAAGAATCTCACCACGAAACATGGCCCGAGGCCCAGCACTATGACATGTCAGTCACCAGAATGGATCTGCAGCAGACCTGCTTTACCGACGTGTGGACCTAGAATCTCATCAGAGCCGTCGCGTCACGACTCATCCACGGCACTGTCGGGCCGCTGTCTCAAAGCTGAGCCGAAACTCTCGCTGGTAAAGGACTTTCAGGGTGAGCTCCTGAAACACCCCCATGTGAGCTCGTCACAATGGGCAGCCTGGTCTGGTCCCTGCTGCCTTGGTCAACTTCCCAAACAAAGCCATGGGAACATTTTGGCTCTTCTAGGGGAACCTTCCCTATTCTTTCCAGCAATCCGAATCTTTTCAGGAAACCATCAAAAGCCCCGGAGAAACGGATCCGGTTTTTGAAGAAAAAGACAAGGTTGAAAAGAATGGACAAGGAATCAACCCCTGGAGCTCCGCTTGGTCCTTGGCCTCAGTCACTGAATTCGTCTCCCCTTGCCCTCGTCCCTTGTGTTTGCCCCCTGACTTCAACGCGTTTGGCAGACCATGGCGAAAGAAAGGGAACTGGAACCACACGTCGGCTTCCGGGTTGGGCCTGTGCCTTTCCTTAAACAAAACACGCCCATAGCTAAGCCGCGTACACATTTTGCCCAACCTTGGTCAGCTTCCTTCTGTAGCTCATGAGCGGAAGTCACCCCTTGTTAATACCTCTTCCCATGTTGCCAACCCTCCTAGCGGTCTGTACCGGCCACTAGGAAGGGTCACTCACCCGATCTAGGGGTATGAAGGCCGCCGAGCTCGGCATGTTTAGACTCGCCAAAAGTCCAAGGAACCGAAGGCCCGAACTTGCCCCAAACAGAAGGGGAAACCGAAGCCCTGGGGCCTGTTTTGTAAAGGGAATCTCAGGCCTTGCAGGGGGGGGAGGGGGGGCTTCATCCGCGATCCCTCCGATCTCTCCCAGTTTTAGCCACGCCTATGAGCCGTCCAGGTGCGATGAGTCCGCCCCTGGCAGGAATACGAGGCTCTGCCTGAAGGGCAGAAACAAGTGGTGTGGAAAAGGTTGTTAAAGTGTTACCCTCTGTCTGACAACGGCGGACAGGGCTTTTCAAGAGCGCGGCAGTCTTTTGTGAAACCCTTCTGTCAGCTTGTACTTGTGTTTTTTGCAGCGAGGTCGGGTGTCAAATTTAGCTGATATTTTGCTTTTAAGAGAAGCCACCACTGTGGGCTGCCCTTAGAGATGGCCTTCACTCTTTGTGGAGGCTCTCTTGTTTTCTTCCCTCAGGCGAACTCTGCTTGGAGGCATCCTGTCTTGTGCCACGGGTGGCTCCGGAATAAGGGCCCTTACAACTGGATGGTGCTGAAGGCTGGGTGGGTTCCTTCTGTTCCAAACTTGAAGGTGGAAGGCTTGACTGTCCGGGGGTTGGATGCCTGCTGACCGAAGGGACGGAGTCATAAGGAAACCTTGGAGTTAAAACTGCCTGCCCAAAGCCATACAAGTAAGAGACAGCAAGACGGCGCAGAGCAATTTTCATCTCTCGGATTTGCCCCTAACTAAAGGCTTGGTGTTTGGTTGCCCCAACCTTCATTGACCCGGGCATTGTTCTAGGGGTTGATTCCCCATTCTTTTCAATCATCCTTCTTTTCAAAAACCAGCTGTTTCCCTGGGTGTTTGATGGCTTCCTGAAAAGAAGGATTCCTGGAAAGAATGGAAAAGGAAGGCAGCCCTAGAAATTATGCTCCCTAATGTCAAGGGTGTCTGCGTTTTAAGACACCTCCCCCAAGTTGTACGTGATTAGAGCACGTGCAACCAAACTGGCCCAAAGAGGAACACCTTAGTCAGGGTAAAACCCTTCAACCCTTTGAAACCTCACGACAAGTCAACACTCGAGCACTCTAAACCCTCAAACCCAAAAAAAGCATTTTCACCCTTGAAACCCTTCAAATCCTTGAAACTGCCCAACCTCCGTCTCCGCCGCCAGCTTCTGCGCACGGGTCAGCGCCTGCAAAAATCGCACATATACGTTAAGGAAGCACCGGACGAAGACATGTGGCGGTCCTTTTTTGAGGGTACCCCGTGTTTTTGTGGTGCTCAAAGCAAAGCCAAAACGAACCCCGAAGCCATTTTGTCAAAAGGAGACATGCCCGATCACGCCCGTCTGGTACAAGCGCCTGCATGGATCCAACCCGCGTTGAACTTAAATCCCCCGCTTTGCTCCCGAAGAAAGACGCAAGTTTGGATGTAGAACACCCGGGACCAAGGTTGGGAGAGCACCCAACAAAACTGGCGGCTTGAAATGAGACACATCAAGGGGAAACCGATGCGAACTCGGGGGGTGACCCCTTCTTATTGTTTGGCTTGTATTAAAAAAAATAAAAAATGTGTGTATATATATATATACAGTATACACATCTAAAAACGTGTTACGCTGTCAAACCCGCGGACGCGTTCGCTTGACTCTTTCTCGCGACATGTTCCTTCGCGCGCGCGGAAGGCACCTCCTCCATGGAGCTGGGCATCTGGTCCCATTCGCACTGCTCCTGCGTCAAATGTCGCGCATGCCACAGATTCGAAAGTCCCAAGACCGCAAATTCCTGATTCGCGCCTCATGTTATTAAAGTCGTCTTATGATGTAACGACCCCAGCAGGAGAAACCCACTCAGAAAGGTTTCAATTTGGCTGTGGGTCAAAACCCTGCTCCCAGGACCACAAATTCCTGTGACGCGCAAACCATGATGTTGTCAAAGTCGCCCCCCCCTTTTTGCGAGCCCCCAGCAGGAAACCCACTCAGAAAGATTTCAATGTCTGACAAATGGCAATCTCCGAGGGTCCTTGGCTCCCTTGCTCCATCTGTTTGGCAAGTGACATGTTCCTGGCATAAGTTGGCCGAATGTTTGGCCGTGAGAAACTCCAGCCGTTGGAGTTTCATTGCCAGGGAACCCTCTTGGAGTTTGCCTAAGCCTTTTGACGGGGTGGTGTGCTTGTGTGTGTGTGTGTGTGTGATTGTGTGAGTGCGCGTATTTGTGTTTGTTGTGTTTGTTTTTGGTGTCGCTTTTGTTGTTGTGTTTTGTTCTTTCTTTCTTTCTTTCTTTCTTTTCATTCTTTCTTTCTTTCTGTCTTTCTGTCTGTCTGTCTGTCTTTCTTTTTTTTGCCGGGGGGTTCTGACAGGATGTGGAAAAGCCACTGCACTGATCGCAAAAAGAGCCCAGAAGAAGTGCACTTTCAGCGTCCCTCTGATTGGTGGTTTGGATTGGGTTTGGACGTTAGGGAGTGGCTTCCCATTCACTCTCTACAATAACCAGGAACCACCAAGCCACAAAAGAATGAACAACGCTAAAGTTGATCCGTGCTTCTATTTGATAATGTTTCTGGTGTTGGATGTGTACCCCAAAGGGGCATGTGGTTGGTTTCCCGTTTGGAGCTCCCTGTGCTCTATGTCAGCCATGCAGCCGCCCTCTATGCACGCTATCGGCAAGGGTTGTCATGACCTGCTTGAAGCGTGGACTTCCTTAAGAGGCCGGACTGGTACAGCGCTGCCGTGGGCTGAGCGGGAAGAAGGACTGCAAACAAACCTATCTTGACCGTAGCTCTGGTCACACATGATGCAGCCGTCGTCTCCAAGAAGACCTGTGCTCACCCAGGAGCCAAAACCTTCCGGAGACCACTGAACACGCCGGTGTTCGAGATACCCAACCGCCCCCCTCCCCCCCCAAAAAAAAAAATGAAGAAAAAAAACGGGGCCCGGTGTCCCTTTGGCTTCCCGTCACAACAACCCTCAAAAGAGTACCACCCCCCCCCCGGAAGGAAAAAAAAAAAAACTACCATTGGGTTGCTGGCCTTTAGACACGTCTCAAGTCACACACCAAAAACCGGTGTCCAATCTGGACAAAACTATAATTTTGGACACATTGTTTTCATGGGTAGGCTCGCTTCAACAGGTGAGCTGACGGTTTGTCCAAAGAAGTCACACCGAAAAAGCTTGCTTTGTTTTGGTTGGGGGGGACGGGGAATTCTTGACTCTTCAAAGAACTTGCCTTCGCCGTTGGAGACCACGCTTCCCATGACAGTGTAGGGCAAGATTTTGTCAAAGCCCGACAAAACCAGAAACAAGCCTTCATTTCTTTGTTGCGGCGCAGTGGTTCGCCAAACAGCTCCCTTCGCGAGGCGGATCTTCGCCCGAGCCGAGCGGGTGACACCGGCGGGTGAATGCGGATCGTCGGCAGAATCGGGGGTCTGTGTCGTGAACCAAACAAAGCCATTGAAAACGGTTTGACGGTAGAAAAGGCAGCCAAGCAAGCTTAGAGTAAAGACGCCAAACCAGCTTCGACTCCGAAACAAAAAAGACCTCTGAAAGAAGGCTAGAATAAGCAACAACAAGCAAGAAAAGGAGCAGACCGTGCAAACACACCGCCCAACAGTTGGACACCCAATGCGCTCTGGTTGCAACTGTTCTTAATCTTCGCATCGAACAACTACTGTGCACGAGGCACATTGAGTCTGTCAAATGTGGCGTCTGCGTCTCACCAGATAGAAACTTGCTTCAAATTGGACCGAGCAACAGTGGTTATACAGACTAAACAAAGACAACAAACCAGTTTAAGCTCAAAAAGACAGCCAAACAAAGTTCAGGTTAAGTAATGGTAATAGTAATACAGATAGCATAAAGTACTGACGCAAGACAAAGCATGGCCAGACAAGAACCAAAAAAGAACAAGCACAAGCAGAGTTTAGGCCAAGGCATACTCTCACAACAGAAGCTTGGGACCACGCAAACACAACGAAACAAGTTCAGACTAAATCAACCCAAAAGAGGCTCCAACCAAAGTTTGGAGGTCGTTTTCGCCGGTCCTCCTCTGTGGTCTGCATGCGGTTCCTGGCTGAGAAGCTGGGGGAAGGCGGAAGCGGGCGGCGGATTTGTTTCGAGGTCTGGACTCGGTGACTCCAATTCCCCGATCCGGAAGAAACTCGGCCGGAAAAAGGGAACCCGCCGCTTGTTAAAACGTGATTTTTGATCATCTGGCCTGAGGAGCGACCCTGCAAGACTTGGCCATGCAGAAAATGGCCTCAACATTTTGCCTAACATGCCCGGTATCACAATATGAGTAAAACTACTGATGTTGACCCAGGATTGACAAACCCCGTCCACATTATTGGGGGGGGTGTTCCCTCAAGAAAGTGGTCTGAATCCCCACTAAAAGGGGACACCCCCCAAGCAAAATCAACCAGGAGTTCTACTTAGATCCGGAGTTAACATTAGATGCGTTTCTTCGGGGGGATTTTCTTCGGGGCCTCTGCAAGGTCTGCATCTGCTTCTGCTCGGTCTTCTTCACCTCCTCGAAGTGCGCCTTACCTCGGCCACTGGGATCAGATCCACCCCAAAGGATACATCCAAAGACGGGGCGCAGATCTGTGGTTCAAAACCCCCCAGACCCACCCCACTCCACCCCTTCGGATATCTGGCCATGGGTCAAAACCGTTTTGGGATCCCATTTTGGGGGGTTGCGGTGAATTCACCACCCAGCTTAGAACCTATTTTAGTGGGGATTGAATCGGATGTTCACTGGGGGTAAGGGGTTTTGACCCATGGCCACATCCACAGACGGGCGCGGATCTGTCATTTGAATGGGGGCGCTCTGAAACCGGCCGAGTTCCAGTTGGATTTCCCAAGCCTAAAATGATCACACCCACATGGTCCACAAGCGGGTAAGCCTGAATTTCCAGACGCCCTTTGGATGAAACTCCTCTAGGCAAAAGAGACTCGGCAACCGCCACCGTCAGAAAGACTCGAGGCCCCGAGACCTGTTGTTGCACACATGCCGAGACCCGTTCGCAACCACATGTTCGCAACTGAATCAGGCGATGGTGGAAGCTCCCAAGAGGCCCAACACGTCTTCGCAACAAAGGCGCTGGCAAATTCCATAGAATCGCCTGGGAAAAACCGCACAGCCTCTCTGCTCACGAACAGAACCGCAGCGATCGTGTAAGTGTTTGCAGGCTTCCCTGAAACTTGACACATGCCTGTCAATAGGGCATGTGTCAAAACAAGCGGCGGGTTTTGTTTTGCAGTCATGTTGAAACTGTCCCAAACAGGATCCGGGTTTCGGCTTCCCACTGCTCTGCCCAATGTTGTGTAGCTGCTTGCCTGATTTCTGCAAAGCCAATTCTCGTCCATTTACAGGTGGGTGCTGACTTGGAAATTGAGAGGCCGTGCTGAGAACGGGTTCTAGACTTCTGGGGGCTCCGGCTGTATTTCCTACGACTGTATCAAAGCTTAACCGATGTCTGGCCAGCCTTTGCCAACGAAATTTGGCACCTTGGTGCGTGGAATGAGGGCAGAATCAGTGATCATAGGCAAACATGCCTCTGGTTCCGAACAGAGGCTCTCAGTCACTTAGCCACTCAGTCACTCAGCCACTCAGCCACCCATCCACACCCCACCCCCTCCCCGCCTCACCCAACCCCACCCAACCCCACCCGACCCCACCCCACCCCCACCCACCCTTCTCTCTTGGCCGCGGGCCCATGAAAGTCGCCAGCATCGCGATCCGCTTCCTCTGCGGGATGGGCTGAGCCTCGGGTCGCGGGTCTCGCCAGAAGAAACCGCGAGGAAACCCAAAGAAACTGGTTTCGCAAAGAGGAAACGAGACTGTTTGAAAGGACCCTTACATTTCCCCGGCTGGGGAAAGAAAACCGTTAGGCAGAGTCACACCGTCACACCACCCATCTCTAGCAGCATCCTGTCTGCATCCCCAACAGGATTTCGTCCAATGGCTGGGCATGTTCAGTGGGAAGGAAGCCATTGCTTTGTGAGCGAAACGCCCAAAGAAAAGGGCTCCAAAGGCTCCAGGGAGCCACCGGCCATGGAGTTGAAGGCATGGGTCGATGCATTTCGGGGTAAAATGAAACACAAGTCTGGGTGAATTTTGGTTGAGGGTACCAGGATCAAAGGGAAGACAAAAGGAAAACCACCACTTTATGGGCGGTGCTATGTTGAGACAAGACCAGTTCCCCCATCATGGCAATTCCAAGCATGAGTAAGGGATTCTGGGACAGAAACCTGAGGGGCTCCGGAACGGGAGCGCAAAAACGAGGCTGAGGATGGGAGACATGCCAGGTGATGCTGAGGATGCTGGGGATGCGGACCCTGCATCACCAGCATCATCCCCATTGAAGTTGAGGAGAAGGACGGAGAAAACAAAAAACAAAAAAAAGTGTCCGCCGTTTCCCCCGCCACATTACTCAGGCTCTCGTGACTTCATGGGGCCAAAATCCGCGTCACCAAACATTTGCCCATAGAGAGGCGAGTTCCATGCATGAGAAGTCCGAATGGCTATCAAAGTGCTGAAGATGACCAGTGGTTCTTTCTGGTCTCACCTGTGAGTGAAAAAAGGGGCCAAGCCACAGGGGTTTTCCACAGCGATTTTGTTACGTGAGCTGTGTCCTGCGCGATGGGAAACTTGGTCAGTCGCATGTCGGGGCGAATCGCGCTTTCTCTTTGAATACCAAGTTGGGCCATCCCCCATGACGACGTCTTTCAAAGGAGACTTCTTAGTATCATGTCCAGCTTGAACTTCTGTTTCTGGGGGCAACTTGAACATGCTACTTCAAGCGAAAGCGCAACCATGTCTAGGTCCTCCAGTAGAGAGGTTAGAATAAGGGCACCCTTTTTTCTGTGGTCTATTTTAGTAGGGGAACCGAATCTCCCAACCAAAAAGGGTGAGAAGGGCACCTGGCTGGGGGACCTGGATGTAAGCCAAGGTGAAGGCTCAATAACATGGGCCTCTTGGAAAAATACACAAGGCCCAATGAAAGACACCAACTGTGGATGGACCAAATCCAAATCCATTTCGCACCACTCGGAAACGATCGGAAACCACTCGGTTGGTGGGTATTTACGTTGGGGAATCGACTCATTCCAGGGTTCCTGTAGGTGCAGGATGGACGCGCAATCCACAGTATGTGCTCAAACCAAACCGCCTGACCAACGACCCCTACCGCCAGCCCGTCTGTCGGCGTCGCACCTCCCGCACCTCCGGGTCTTCCACCAGCAAAGGCGCGCGGGTTTGGCCCATCACCTGGCCGGAGAGTCCACGGGAAAAAATATCCAGGCGAGGCACATGGCCATGGGTCAAAATCCAAATCGTAGCCCCAGTGAACATCCGATTCAATCCCCACTAAAATAGATTCTAAAATGCGTGGTGATTTCACCGCAACCCCCAAAATGGGATCCCAAAACGGTGTTGACACAGCCGCATGGGTTGAAACTTGGAGGGTGCGTCTCTCTTTTTCTCTGAGGGCAGCTTTATTGGGATAGCTTCAAGGATTAGTCTATATGGGTATTGATCTGGGACCCTTGAAGTGGACAAGGTGGGGATTTCTGTCCACCAACCACTGAGGGGATGGAGGGGCATCCATTAAACTGCACTGCCACCAGGGTTTGTCAACACACCTCTCCAAAAATGCAGAAAAAGAACTCGGGCAACCCTAAAAAAGAAACAGACCCATTGAAGGAGGGTCCAGGGTCTGAGCATCTTGCATTTGTTGTTGTTCGGTTTTCTCCACGGGTTTTGCATTTGTTTGGAAACGTGTGAAAAACACTTGAGACAACAAAAACACGGAAAAAACTGACCCATGGGGGGTCCAGGCTCTGGGACATGGGTCTGAACTTTTGCGTTTCTTTGTTTGCGGTTTTCTGGCGGATGCGTTGCTTTGCATGTTCTATTTCATGGGACTGAGCCTTTTGTCGTCTTTGTTTTTTGTGTTTCTTGCTTCTCAGAGCCTTTGCATGTTGTGCATTTTCCCGCTTCAGGCCTGTGTGCAAGAGCTTCCGTGTTCAAGAGCACTTGTGCAGTTTTATACATCCAAGCCTTGGTACAGTGTTAAATGTTAACTGCTTTGAGATAGAGTAATCATCTTTACAAATCAAGTTGAAATAGAAATCTTGATTGGATTCGGTCCTTATTAAATCCTACTTACTTTTAGTTAAAGGTTGAGTAGAATTTGACGAAGATACTATATAAGTGGAATTCGTAAGAAAAGAGTTCAGTGGCCCCAAAAACAAATCGTGTTTTTGCTCTATGCCCGGCACTACCATGGTCTGCAAACACCAAAAAACAGTTTTAGCGGCTTTCGTGCTCAATTCACATCTCCACCAACTCTGCCGCTCTCTAAAATTCAAATAGAAATTGAAAATGATTTAAACGGGACTCGATACGGAAATATGTGTTGCGCATCCTGCTGGAAGATATATCTAACAAAAAGATAATCCTGCTGAAAACTATATCGTGAATTTAGAATGTAGATTCAAGTCCTTTCCCAATAGAACTTTAGAATTCAGTTAGAGTTTACACAGAATTTGATACGGAAACAATCCAACATAATGTCTGTGTTAGATGAACATTTGAAAATATTCCATTTAAAAAATGTATAATGAAAATTTACACGGGACTTTCTTTCCAATCGAATTTCTTTACAAATCAGTTACGTAACATTGAAACACACTTTGTTCAAACAGAGTCCAGCTCGAATGTCCATTAAAAATGTGAAAAAGCGCACGCTCACAGTGCCGAGCTCTCTTTGACAACCCCCCCCCCCTGGTGGGTTTGTCCCTGATCCTGCTGGTGCTCACTAGTTCGGAATGAACCTGCGGAAGGGGCAACAAGGGATGGTAGGGGTCTTTCCCTGGTGAGAACCAGCAAGTGATAGTGCTACAAGAGTATCTATCCACTTATCCCTCACTTGACTCAGAGATATCACGCTTCATGAAACCAGTCCAGTTACCCTTTGTAGAAATACATTCATGTCCCAAGCAAGCTTTAGGAAAACGCAGGGAAAACACAATCATTGTGGGCTTGGTTTACTTGTCGCAAACTTCACTAGCTTGAGGGTTTCTAGGGGGTTGTCAAGATGTCGCTTGCTTTGGACGGAACGCCTTTCGTGCGTTGCTTTGAGAATGGCGAGAAACGAGGCCGATTTGTTGTCAAAGTGCGTTTAATCGTTTGTGGGGTTGTGTTGTTGGCGTCCACGAGGGTGCGCGCTTTTGCTGGAGGGAAGCAAAAGCGAAGACCCTGCCAGACTCTTCACGCAGAGTTCAGCTTGGTTACGGGAGCCGACAACGAAACCACGTAAAGAATCAAAAAAAATGGTCTCTTCACCTAAGGTCTGTATTTCAAGATTCATCTTCCTGGGCTTTGATGTGTGGCTCTGCAAGGAGAAGCTCTTTGCTGGCGGAGCACATCCCAGTCACTGGAAAAAGGAGTTGTCTCTCGGCCCCCCCACATCTTCAGGCTTTACCCTGCGCCCTCTCTCTCTTTTGCCTCCAACGCGCTCTTTGAGCGGCTACTTTGGGTGACAAGGGTGCCCTTTCCAGGTGCTGTTCTCTTTGTTCTGTGCGATTTTGCGTTCCTTCTGCTCCCTCTGTTCCCTCTGTTCCCTCTGTTCTATTCTATGCTTTGTTCCCTCTGTTCTGCTTCCTCCAGAAAAAGCGCGTGGCATCACAAGGGCACCCTTCCGACTTGCGACTTGCGACTTGCGACCAGATCCCTCGCGCTCGGGAAGCTTCGCGCCCGTCACCGGGGCAACGACCTGGAGAACACCCAAGCGACATGCGGGAAGCGGGGCTCGGGTTCTCATCGGAAGTGGATGGATGCTCTGAGGAGTAAAGTGGTAAACATCATCGGAACAAGCTGTTGAGAAACCTACATCAAGTGGTGGGTTTCACAGAAGTCGCACAGCCCTGCTCAAGTAAGGAAGACAAATTTTCGACTCTTTTCCTACCACTGCCCGTCCTACATCATCTGTTCCGCATCCCGTTAAACAAAAGAAGAGCGGTGGTGGCGGGGAGGAGCGGTATTTGTGAAACCAATAGTGCTGAGCTGGTTTCGAGACCGTTACAAAAACTAAATCACGGGTACGCATAAGAAAGAGACAAGACCTCTATACGAGCCTTGCATGGCCATGAGACGAGACAAGGAGATGAGGCTCTCCATGCTTGCCCTGGATCCCAAAAACGTTTTGTCACAAGATCCCGCCAAGACCCGATGAGGGCCACAAACAAGATCAGCGGACCGGGACACCGCTCTTAGGACAGGTAGGCCCTCAGAATGCTCAATGGCGGAAAGATCATGGTGTGCATGCCCATAAGGATCACACCAGACACCTTCATGCTGGAAATCCTGAAGGTCAAGGACGGGGCAACATCCAGCACGTACCCATCGGTGGCCACGCACCGGATGAGCACGAGAGCGAAAACGAGCAGGAGGAGAACGGTGAAGAAGAGTCTCCTACTTACTATTTCCGTTGAGGTTTCCTAGGGTTACGGGTGAGTTTGGTCAACTATTGACACGCAGGACTCAGGTAAAAACACGTCTATACATTCGCAAAACCAATATACAAGCCCGGTTTCAAGCAATTTGTAAAAATTGGTTTTGGTCCATGCTCCTTCCCCTCCCCAGCATACCTTGCTTCCTTGTCGCCTGCCAACTTGACTGCAACGAGATCTTATCCGTCAGAAGTTCTAAACTCCAAGCTTCCTTTTGCTAATCAAGTAAACCCCCAGTCAACTACTCCTGCCTACACTTGTGCGGTAGGTGTTCGGCGTTACAGTTGGGCGAGAATCAGATCAAACATGGTTCCCTTCAAATCTAACCAACAAGGGCGGGTGGCAGCGAAGTGAGGTTCTCAGTGTCAGTTCTTAGTTCCTAATTTCTGCTACAACTAATAAGGATTCCAAGACTTTAGTAAGGGTATAGTATTGGCTCAATTAAAAATCAATTGTGCGGAGTGGAAATCTGGTCCCGGGCCCCGAATTTCGATTGTTTTTTTTTTTTAATTGGGGGTTATTCATTAATAGGGGAAGAGATTATTCCCTTTGCAAAAGGCCTAGTATTGGGTATGTGCACGTACGGCAGCAATTCCCCCGCCTGTGTTCCCGAAACATTCTTTTCACGCGCAGCGGCGTCAACAGACAGCGTAGCGCGCAAGAGAAGTTGACAGGAGAGTTTTTTTCGAAGCGCGGTGTCAAGCTTCCTCATCAGAACTTGCAGAAGCTACGAAGTGACATTGATGTTTTTACGCTTGTTTCTCACCTGCAGTGGGAGAGGTGTCAGAGTTTACTTGACGTCTTTCTATGCTTCCGGGCCACCCGTCGTCAAATTAAACCCAATACTATTTGGGGTCTCTTGCCGGGATAATTTGCAGGGGCTTCCCCCAAAGGAACCCGCGCCCATGACCACGGGGGCCGGACCGTTTTTTCAAAGAAGGAGTTGGCGCAGGACCGCCCCTGCAGGGTACCGCAAAAGGGTCGACGAAAGGGAGACACAGGGCATATCCCATTTGGAAGGAGCAGACTTCGCCAGTTTTCAAAGCAACCTTTGTTTATCTTCGTTTCCTCAAAGTTCGGAGTTTCAATTTTGGGGAGTTTCACCATTTTCGTGAGGGTGCATGCGTGCATGTTGTGGGAAACCTTCGGCATTTTGTGGGCGCAAGTGCGATTGCCAAGGGTTGCATTGTTTGTGTTTGCCACCTCCAACGCTTTGAGGGTTGTGTGCAACTTGTTGGTTGCGCTAAGGTTTGGTTTGATTCGATTTGATGACCCTTTGTGTCAAACCATGGTGGAGATTGAGTTTCTTTGCCCCAGGCTTTTCAGGGCAACAAGATTGGCACTTTGTTGTTGGTGCGCCATAAATCTAATCACAAGCCACCCTTTAAGTGTAACATGCAGGCATTTCATGGATGCGTGCTTGGGCGTCGTTTCAAACCCACCACAGTATAGGTACCCTTTCTTTAAAACATAGTCACTTCAAGACAACCAGTGTCTCACACAGTGCTGCGGCAGGTAAGCATGTGCATGACAGATCTGGTCAAAGCCATCGGCAACGCGCAGCATCATAAAGGTGATGTCTTGTCAACACTCTTGACAAGAACCCACGCTCTCAAGAAAAGTGTTGGCAAAGCGCACACAGGTTGGACACTGGTTTGCGTGGCAAACACTACAGCTACAAGCGCAGCACAGGGTGTGGCTGAAGCACGAGAGCTTCTATGCCAAATGCTCTCTTCGGCAGGGCCAGAACCCTGT